TTCTGTCGTGCGGAGGGCATCACCAAGCCGTACACCCTGCCGGACTCCCCGCAACAGAATGGGGTCGCTGAGCGATGCATCGGTTTGGTCATGGAGGTGGCTCATACCTGCATGATCCATGCCTGTGCACGCCATTTTCTATGGCCGTTCACTGTTTGCGACGCCGCTCACCAGCTTAACATGTGGCCACACTCCCAGTGGCCGCAGGTTTCGCCGACCCTTCTCTGGACCGGGTTCCCTGATGACGCGTCTGTGTTCCACGTCTGGGGCTGCCTTGCTCATGTTCGTGCCTCTGGCATGGACAAGCTTACTACCCGCATTGTCCCTTGTCTCTTCCTTGGTTTCCCTATCGACGCGTCTGACTGGCACTTTTACCACCTATCGTCACCGGTTCTTTCACTCTCGCAACGTCACTTTTGACGAGTTTGTATTTTTCTATACCCGCTTTCCCCACAGAGGTCTTCGGTTACCTCGCCCCTGTTCGTGGTCCCCACTCCCCTGGTAGCCCTTGCCCCGCTTTCTCCCCATCTTGCCCCGTCTGGTGTGTCTCACGTCACTCCCCTCCCGTCGGTTGTCCCGGTCGAGGAGTCGGCTAACTCCGGGAGCCCCGCGGCTTCAGTGTCGCCGCCTGTCTCCGCCCCGTTGTCCCCTCCTCCGCTGCCGCCCCAGCAGCTGCCTTCGTTGCCGTAGCCGCAGCAGCAGTTGTCACAGCCACAACCGTAGTCGCCGCTGCCACAGCAGCAGCCGCCGCAGGGGTCCGCAAGCTCTGGGGGTGCGGGCGTTGAGGAGGGTGCTAGTCCTGGGGGTACTGTCGTGGCTTGTCCCGGAGGTCCTGGGGGTGGCACCGGTGTTGGAGAGGGTTCTCGTTCTTGGGGTGCTATCGTGGAGCATCCCAAAGGTAGCCTTGGTGCAACTGGAGGTTCTGATATCGGCATGGAGTAGCAGCAGCAGCAGTCGCTGCCGATGTCTGCCCTTTGCATCCTCGATCTTCCCTCCACTGACCGCCCGCCTGCGCCTTCCCCGCCTGTCTACGGTCATATGTTTCCTCCGCCGGACTCGTCTCCGACCCGTTTTCCCCCGCGTTCTCCTCCTGTGTCTCCTGACCCCACGCCTCCGTTCCACTTGTGGTCTCGCCGTCCCTCTCATGCTCGTCCTGTCTCTCCTGTCCAGCGCTCCCACCCTATGTTGCTTTGTTCCCACGCGTCTTGTCCTCCTCTCATCCTGTCGCCTCCTCCGTCCTCGCTGGTTGTCACTCCACCTCCCTTGTCTGACTTCTACCGTGCCGCTAGTCCTCTTGTTCCTCGGGTCCTCGCCTCTCTTGTTACCTATCTGTCTGTTCCTGTCTCCCGCCTTGACGCTCTTGTCGCTGCCGTCACTGATTTTGCCCCTACCCACCGCCTTGACTACGCCACCGCTCTGGTCTGTGACCTTGCCCGCCCTCCATCCGTCGAGGGTGCTTCTGCCACTGGTGGTGACGTCCTAGAGGACCGGCAATACGAGCTTTCCTTTCTGTCCGAGGCCGCGCCTCATCTCTGCTCGATGCTGCTAGTCCTTGAGGGTGACCCAGACTACTTTGACATCCCGACCCCCTCGTACTTACGCTGACCTGACTTCGGGACCCTGGGCCTCTTTGTGGATAGCTGTCATGGACGCGGAGATGATCTCGTGGAGGTCCACTGGCACCTACGTCAACGCAGTTCCCCCACCTGGGGTGAACGTAGTCGATGACCGTTATCTCTTCAAGGTGAAGCGCCCTCCTGGAGAGCCGTCGATGTTCAAGGCGTGCTACGTTGTTAGAGGCTTCAGCCAGCGCGAGGGTGTTGACTTCTTTCATACCTTCGCCCAGACCCCGAAGATGACTACTCTTCGGGCGCTGCTACACATAGCAGCACATCGGGACTACGAGCTGCACTCTCACGACTTCTCGAACGCATTTCTTCAATGCAGTCTTCATGAGTAGGTCAACCTACGTCGCCCGCCAAGCTGCACCGGCACCTTCGCCCCGGGGACCCAGTGGCTCCTTCGGCGCTTGGTTTACGGCCTACAGTAGGCGCCTCGAGAGCGGCACGATACGCTTCGTGCTACATTAGCTGACCTGCAGTTCTTCCTGTCCTATGAAGACCCCTTGCTCTTCGTTCGTTCAGGCCAGTCACCATTCTACATCCTTGTCTACGTGGACGACCTGGTCTTTGCTACTGCAGACAGAGATGCACTGGCCTCCGTGAAGGCCGAGCTGCTAAGGAGACACACCTGCACTGACATAGGAGAGTTGCGTCGCTACTTTGGCCTGCAGATCTATAGGGATAATGCACCGCGCACCATCACTCTCACACAGTTACACTTGGTGTGCCAGGTCCTTCAGAGGTTCGGTCTTTAGTTCTCCTCCGCACAACCCACACCTTTGGCAGTAGATCACAGGCTCTCAGCTCCAGTCCTTGAGGAGCCAGTAGAGCCTACTGGTCCGTGCGCAGAGCTGGTGGATTGCCTCATATACCTGATGACTTGCACTCGCCCAGATCTCGCATACCCTCCCAGCATCCTGGCTCGCTTTGTGGCGACAGGCACACACCGACCGCATCACTGGTCGGCCGCTAAGAGGGTTTTGCTTTATCTAGCAAGTACATCGGACATGTGGCTAGTGGTCTTGTGGCTACTTCTCCAATGGCTGGACTAGTTGTGCCGCCGTGAGTTACTTTTGTTTAGTTTGTACTCTTGCTTACTGGACTTCGGACCCTTGCCTCAGAGGTTGGACTAGAAATACAGCCCTGAGCTGGGTGTCTCGTGCTAGTCGTTGCCCCTTGTCTAGCTTAGGAGGCTTGTCAACATATATTTTGTAAATGTTATAGGCTAGATAGGTGCATACTCATAGAGAGTACAACACCTGATGTTTTATTCCCTTGTACCTCATCATTTTAGTTAATCTTTCTACTCTGAGAACTAGTTCCTGGCGAATTGTGGAACACGAAATCTTGGGATGGGGCGAAAAGGAATCGAGGGGCGGGCAAATCAAAATTGCAGGGGAGGGAGAAAATCGACGCCATCCAGGTGCAGTATTTCGTTAAGGGCCAATGGGCGCCCTCGCACACACTGATCGCACCACAAATCGGCAATTTTTGTTTTTCAGGGCCAATCGACCCCTCACACCGCACCCAGCACAAACTGGGAGGTGATTTTAGTGAAGGTTCAGTCAGCTCCCTCACATAGCCCCCAGTACACATCGGCCTTTGATTTTAGTGAAGGGTCAGTCAACTCCCTCACACAGCCCCCAATACGCATTGGTCGCTGATTTTGGTAAAGGGCCACTAACCGCCCTCACGAAGCCCCCAGCAAGGATTGCGCCCTGATTTTGGCTAAGGGCCAATCAACGCCCCCCACAGGCAAATCACACTCCCCCCCTAAACCTGGCATTACACAAATCAGATTCGACCCGCCAAACAGAGTTGGGGCATCACAGTAAACTAGTAAGAAAAGTCTGAAAAATCAGCGTAGGTATATAAATATTCTCTGAAAAATCATAGTAAGGTACAATAAAAGGTCTTCCCAATCAGGTCTAGCGAGGGGGGGTGTCAAGAGACACGTTGGGGTTGCCCTTGAGATCCTTGGAGAAGGGTCACAGGTGCAGAGCCTGGGAGGCTATGGGCGCAATTACCCGCTACTTAACAAGCCCTTTTAACTCAGTGGTTAGTGACTGAGTTTTGTCACCCCCCCCAGAATATAAGTTTTTCCCACGCTCCTAACACCCGTCACTCTTCCTAGGACCCGGCTACCAGGCTACTAGCTGCGAAGGAGTACTTCCCACACACCCTTAGAACATATGTGACTCCGATGAGCCGTGGAGCGTGGAACAACCTCAAGTAAAATCCTTGGAAATGTGCGCCCTCCAAGCATTTCTTCGGTTGGCTCTTAAAAAACAGTGCAGTGCAGATTTGGACCCTGGGTTTTCAGGGTGAATTTTGAAGGGGTTTTTAAGCGCCTGAGCTGTTGAAAACCCTAAAATAAGCCCTGGTCCGGAACCGATCTTTTTGTCAGAAAGGTCTGGAACCAATCCGAGGCTTCGCGTGTGTTTGAGCGAACGCAATAGCAGTACGGCTAGGTAATGGAGAATTCCTTACTAAAAAATTGCTAAGTGCTGAACTATGAAATTAGGGTTGAGCAAAACCGGGTATTTACCCGACCCAACGTGGTTTTGCAATACCCAACTTCGGGTCGGATATTTTCGGGTCAGGTACGGGTCGGGTAATAAACCCAGGACCATTACCCGGATCCGATCTTTGAGGGGGGGCAATACAATACCCGCCTGGCGGGTCCGAATATACCCGACCGCTTCACTTAAAGATCAGGTATTGCTACCCCCCCTTAAGCAGCCCTAACGAGTTCACTTAGACCACCGTGTGTGCCATGGTTGGGGGGGGGGGGGGGGGGGGTAGCAACGTCTGCGCAATGATAAAAAGCATGAGAAAGCATGCGTACAAGTGTGTTTTGACTTGAAATAACGTTATTACCTGACGCTGGGTATTTAATACCCGACCCGACGGGTACCCGATACCCGTTTGGATGGGTATCAATCCGGGTAGCGGGTAGCTATTACCCGGCCAGGCACCCCTAACCGACCCACCGGGTAATTTTCGGGAATCCTAATACCCGAACCGCCCAAAAAGCGGATCAGGGTCACCCGCTTGGGTGTTTTGCTGAAGCCTATATCAAATCATGATAGAGAATGTAGTAGGAGGTGACATTCTGCTCGGTGTGTGCATCCCAGAAACTAGCTGTCCAAGAAGCCCATCTGTGCTACTATCGAGAGATTCAGAGATCCTTCCTCATTCAATTGGGCCACGCGTCGTGCAATCCTCGAGAAGGATTGAACCGCTCGCGACTTCAACGATATTTTCCAAACGTAGCGATGTCCAGTAACTAGATCTAACGAGCTTCGCGAACCTTATCCCCTTAGCTCTAACTACATTTTCAATGGGACAACATTACTCTCGCCTTGTTGCCCTTCCTGCTGGCATGAGGCACTAGACGCATTTTCTCCCAGCCCTTTCCCTGTCGCCTGTGCTCCTTGATTTCCCCCGAAACCAGCCGAATCCTGCATCCTCGCGATTTTGGGGGAAAAATAGCCGAGCGAGCGGGCTAAGTCAATGGCGTCCCTTCTCGCGTCGCCAGCCACTCTGGCTGGTTCTCGAACCGCAGGTGTTTACTAGCGACATCCCTCGCTAATTGGCTTACCAAATCCCTGACCGTTGGCCAGTAATTTACGCTCATTCCAATCGGGTAGTCCTTGTAACCATTCCTGCAACGAGTCGTCTATCCATCCCTTGTTCTGCCAACTTCGACCTTATCCGACAATCGCCTCACTCTAATCTACCTTTGGAATCACCTTGAATTCCTCCCTTTTCTTCCTCCTTCCGCCCCTCCCCGCTCCCCACCTCGCAGCATTCGCCAAGGAGCATCTTCCGCAGCTCCGCAAACGGCGAAGGGTTTTGTTGAATTCTAAAAAATCTCTCGCAAGGAGAACCTTCCGCAGCTCCGCAGACAGCGAAGGCTAACCTCCCAGTCGCGTTCCCTACATCAAACTCACTCTCGTCCTTCGCATCCTCCTTTCCTTTCCCCCGTTCTCTTCGCAGCATGCGCCAAGGAGCATCTGCCGCACCTCCCGAGCCGGTCAGCAGCCCCATCCCCTGCCCTGCGCCTCTTATTCAATCGCGGTCCTCGTTATCCTGCTCTCCCCCCACCCCCCCCATCCCCCCCCCTCCTCACCCCACCTCCCCGCTCCCCTCTTCGCAGCACTCGCCAATGAGCATCTTCCGCACCTCCCGAGCCGGCTAACAGCCCGACCCCAATCCCTGCGGTTTCTCGCTCCTCAGAGGCCAATAGCAGCTCAGGCGAGTACCTGCAATCTGCACTGCCAATAGCAGCTCAGGCGAGTACCTGCAATCTGCACTGCCAATAGCAGCTCAGGCGAGTACCTGCAATCTGCACTGCCAATAGCAGCTCAGGCGAGTACCTGCAATCTGCACTGCCAATAGCAGCTCAGGCGAGTACCTGCAATCTGCACTGCCAATAGCAGCTCAGGCGAGTACCTGCAATCTGCACGGCTCTCCAGGTCGATCTCCCGTTCCGAGGGTACTTGTATTCAGGTAGTTCTTATTCCTATTCCATTCCACTCCATTAAGGAGTACTCGTTTCCACTCCCGTTGTGACTTTTGAGTCGACTCAAAAGTCATCCCGTTCCGAGGGTACTGCTTTTGAGTCGACTCAAAAGCGTTCCGAGGGTACTTGTATTCAGGTAGTTCCTATCCTATCCTATTGCATTCCATTAAGGAGTACTCGTTTCCACTCCCGTTCCAGTCAGCTAGATTCAGGTGAGATTTCTTTCAGGTGGCAAGGCAAACCCTTAACGTAGAATCTGTATGTGCGAGAATCCGTTCAGGTGACCAACTGTTTGAGCTAGAAACAGCTCCGAATGACGAACGTTTGTAGGTGTTCCACCAACCGTCTTCAAACTCCTCAACAGCCTCAATTGCCTGGCCCCTTGCTCAAGGACGGCTGCTTCATCCTGGCCCATTGCCTGGCCCATTGCCCGGCCCATTGCCCGGCCCATTCTTGAGGCGCCTAAAAAATTGGCTGCTTCATCCTGGCCCATTGCGTGGCCCATTGCCGAAGCAATCGTCGAGGAACCTCTGAGGACAATTCCGTTCGCGAGACAGCTTCCTAGCGTAAAGAGTGTGGGCCTGCTGGCTAAGCGCCATAACCCCTCTTTCCCCTCGCCCCTCTCCTTCTTCCTCCACTCTCCTCTTCCCCTTTTCTTGGCTTCGCCCCCCTTCCCTCGCCTCTCCCACTTCCCCTTTGTCCTCCCGCCCCTTCGCACCCCCCTTATGTGTGTTTTCATGTGGCCACGCGTCTCGGGTTTCCAGGGTGGTGCATCTCCGGCACAAGCAAGTGGTGCTCTCAGCACTGCCAGCAGCAGCAGCAGCAGCAGCAGCAAGCGGCTGTCAACGGTCGCCCATGCAACGCAGCAGCAGAAGTCGTCTGGCTCCGCTGCAGCTGGTGGGTGCAGGGGGAAAGTGGGTGTGAGGGGTTGTGAGGGGTGGTGAGGGGTGGTGAGGGGTGCTGAGGGGTGGTGAGCCTTTACGGAGTGTCCTTTCAGACACAGCAGCAGAAATCGTCTGGCTCCGCTGCAGCTGGTGCGTGCATGAGCTAGACGAGGCTGGCTTCTGTGTAGGGTTGGAAGGAAGAGGGGAAGGGGGAGGGATGGGGGGGGAGGAGGAGAAGGGGGAGAAAATGGGGAGGGAAAGGAGGAGGTTGATGGGTGTAGTGTAGTTTTCTGGGTGGGAGGGCGTGGTTGATTGTTGAGCGGTTGTTGATCCATCTTTCACGGTTCACCGTTCCCCCCCTCCTCCCTTCGCTACCCATCCCCCTCTCCCTCCCTGTCCCCCCTCTCCCTCCCTGTCCCCCCTCTCCCTCCCTGTCCCCTCTCTCCCTCCCTGTTCCCCCTCTCCCTCCACCCTTGTCCTCCCTCAGTGGAGGGCAAAACTATCGACTTATCATCGTTCCCCCCTATTTCCTTCCCCTTCTCTCTTTCTCCTTCTCTATATCTCTCTCCTCACCCCACACTTCACCCCCCTCTTTCTCCTACCTCCTCCCTTCTGTCCTTCCGCCCCCCATCCGTCTCTCTCTCCCCACCCCACCCTTCTGTTCCCTCTTCTCTCTTGTCCTTCCGACCCCCCTCTCTCCTCCCCCAGTGGAGGACAGCAAGATCGACTTCGGCGACTTTTTCAACGGCGATTTACCCAAGAAATTCCTCATGCTCCTGGGTCTCCTCGCCCTCTCCCGCGTCGGCATCTACATCCCTCTATGGGGGGTCGATATCTCCGCCTTTCAGCAACAACTGGGGGAGGGCTCATTCCTAGCCACCCTAGATACTCTCTCCGGGGGCGGGATTGGACGGCTGGGATTGTTTTCGCTGGGCATCGTGCCGTATATCAACGCTCAGATCGTGTTTCAGCTGCTGGGGACGCTGTACCCAAAGCTAGGCGATCTGCAGAAGAAGGAGGGGGAGGCGGGGAGGAAGAAGGCTCAGCAGTACATGAAGTATATGGCTGTGGGCTTCGGCGCACTGCAGGTATGTTGCTTTGACATGATAACACTCAGCTGCAAGGTAGGGGAATTGAAGGAGGGGGAGGGGGGGGGAGGAAGAAGGCGCAGCAGTACATGAAGTACATGGCTGTGGGATTCGGCGCCCTGCAGTTGCGTTACTTGTGTGCGGTGTCTCTACAGGTGCAGGCGATCCCTGCATCTTTCTCCCTTTCTATATTTCTCCTCATCCCCCCCCCCTCCCCCCCCCCTCCGCAGGCAATCGGCCAGGTGGCCTATCTGCAACAGTACGCGTACAACCCCTAGGTCGACCGGCTTTTCCCACCATTCACTAGCCATGTTCGCCTCATCCAACCCATCCCCATCCCTTTTCTGTCTCTTCCCCTCCCCCCCCAGGCAATCGGCCAGGTGGCCTACCTGCAGCAGTATGCCTACGACCCCTTGGTCGCATGGGCAGTCATCCCTCCTGGGGGGCAAGATCACGGACCTCAAGCTGGGCAACGGGGATTCGCTTCTTTCTTTCCCACGCTCCATTCCCCTTCCTCCTCCTCCTCCTCCTCCCCCTCCCTGCGCCTTCCCCCCTGCCGTTCGCTCCCTGTTCCCCCCTCAGGCTATCGGCCAGGTGGCCTACTTGCAGCAGTACGCCTACGACCCCTCGGTCGCCTGGGCAGTCTCAGCAGTCTCAGGCCTCACCCTCGGCGCCGTGGCAGTGATCCTCCTGGGGGACAAGATCACCGACCTCAAGCTGGGAAACGGCACGTCCCTCCTTATCTTCACTAACATCGTGTCTTATCTCCCGGCGTCAATTGGGAGGACCGTGTCTGAGGCGACCGAGCAGGGGAACTTCACCGGAGAGGCTCTGCTGCTCGCGTCCTTCCTGTTTCTGGTCTTCGGGATCGTCTACGTGCAGGTGGGTGGGTGCTGCTTCTTCGCTTTCGTCTTTCTAGGCCGAGGGTTAAGGGTACTCTTGTGTGTTTGGTTGGTACCTGCCGGCCTCCATCGGGAGGACGGTGTCTAAGGCGACTGAGCAGGGGAACTTCACCGGAGAGGCTCTGCTGCTCGCGTCCTTCCTGTTTCTGGTCTTCGGGATCGTCTACGTGCAGGTGGGTGGGTGCTGCTTCTTCGCTTTCGTCTTTCTAGGCCGAGGGTTAAGGGTACTCTTGTGTGTTTGGTTGGTACCTGCCGGCCTCCATCGGGAGGACGGTGTCTAAGGCGACTGAGCAGGGGAACTTCACCGGAGAGGCTCTGCTGCTCGCGTCCTTCCTGTTTCTGGTCTTCGGGATCGTCTACGTGCAGGTGGGTGGGTGCTGCTTCTTCGCTTTCGTCTTTCTAGGCCGAGGGTTAAGGGTACTCTTGTGTGTTTGGTTGGTACCTGCCGGCCTCCATCGGGAGGACGGTGTCTAAGGCGACTGAGCAGGGGAACTTCACCGGAGAGGCTCTGCTGCTCGCGTCCTTCCTGTTTCTGGTCTTCGGGATCGTCTACGTGCAGGTGGGTGGGTGCTGCTTCTTCGCTTTCGTCTTTCTAGGCCGAGGGTTAAGGGTACTCTTGTGTGTTTGGTTGGTACCTGCCGGCCTCCATCGGGAGGACGGTGTCTAAGGCGACTGAGCAGGGGAACTTCACCGGAGAGGCTCTGCTGCTCGCGTCCTTCCTGTTTCTGGTCTTCGGGATCGTCTACGTGCAGTGCAGGTGGGTGGTTGTTTTAAACCCTCGGTGGTTGATTTTAAACCCTCGGGGTTTAAGGTTCAGGGTTCAGGGTGCTCCGTGGCAGTCATCCTACTGGGGGACAGGATCACGGACCTCAAGCTGGGCAATGGCACGTCGCTCCTCATTTTCACCAGCATTATTACTTACCTGCCGGCGGCGTCCATCGGGAGGACCGTGTCGGAGGCGACCGAGCAGGGGAATTTCACGGGGGAGATTACTCTCGGAAAAATTTCTTGGAGATTTCTCCGCCATCGTGCTGTTCCTGCCTCTCGGCGCTCGTTATCCCCATGCATGTCCTTCTGTGTTGCCTCACTGTGCTGTGCGCCAGCCACACTGCCATCCCACCCCGTGCCCTGGAATGACGGGTTGCGCTTCCACTGCCGCTTGTGTTTCCACTGCCGCTCCTGTTTCCACTGCCGCTCCTGTTTCCACTGCCGCTCGTGTTTCCACCCCGTGCCCTGGAATGACGGGGTTCGTCCACTGCTGCCCTCCATCCACCACGCACTCCCTGCTTCTCAACCTTCAGTGTGGGCCTCGGATCCACGTCCCCTGTCTGTCTCGAGCAGGAAGCAGAGAGGCGCATTCCCATCAACTACGCGTTGCACAACTCAATCCCCTCCCTCCCTCCCTCCCTCCCTCCCTCCCTCCCTCCCTCCGTCCCTCCCTCCCTCGTTGTCTTCCCTTCGTTCCTCGCCCCATGCCACCCCCCCCCTTCTCCCCCGAGCAGGAAGCAGAGAGGCGCGCATTCCCATCGACTATGTGTTGCACAACTCAATCCCCTCCCTCCCTCCCTCCCTCCCTCCCTCGTTGTCTTCCCTTCTTTTCCCATGCCACTTCCCCCTTCTCCCCCGAGCAGGAAGCAGAGAGGCGCATCCCCATCAACTATGCATCGCGTTACAACCTACCCCTTTCCCCCACCTCCACTATTCCTCTATTCCTCCCTCCATTCCTCTCCCCGAGCAGGAGGCAGAGAGGCGCATCCCCATCAACTATGCGTCTCGTTACAACGTTAAAACGCGCAACGCCTATCTGCCGTTCAAGGTGATTTTTTCTTCTTCTTCTTCCATTCAGCCACTTAGGTATCCTGCCATTCATGCAGCCATCATGCGTGTCATCCGACAAAACACCGTTTATACTCCACATATAGCTCCTAGCTGCTGCTCGTGCCTCCAGCTGATGCCTGCAGCTTGTTGTAATGGCCATTTTGCGCTCACCTCAACAAAGAAAATAAACGATCTCAATTTCATTCCGTGCCTGCATGCACCACCTGAACCCTGTTATTAGGTTTATCATACTCCCCTCCTATCCTCCTTGATTAAGTAGTCCTCTTCCCTTTCTCCCTCCCCCTCCACTTCTTCCTATCTTCAGGATCAACTTTACCGGCCTCATGCCTATTACCTTCTCGTCCTCTCTCCTCTCCGCCTCTCTCCTCTCCACCTCTCTCCACTCCGCCTCTCTCCTCTCCGCCTCTCTCCTCTCCGCGCCTCTCCTCTCCGCCTCTCTCCTCTTCCCCTCGTTCCGTATCCCCCCTCTCGTTTCTTTCGTCTCCCTTATCTCCCTCTCCTTTGCTCTCCCTCCTTCCTTTCCCTCTATCACAGGTCGAACCCACAGGTGCCATGCCCATGATCTTCTCCGCTCTCCCCGACTTTCTGCTGTTCCGTCCTGCTCTCCCCGTTCTCACCCATTCTCACCCCTTCTCAACCCTTCGCGTCCATTTCCCTCCCGCAGGTCAACTCCACAGGCGTCATGCCCATTATCTTCTCCTCCTCGCTCCTCGCTGCTCCCTACTCCATAGCTCGCTTCACCGGCAGCGCTGCCTTCCAGTCCGCCGCCACAGCATTGTACCCTGGAGGTACGTTATGTGGTAGTAACCAGGTAACCAGACTGCTCCCTACTCCATAGCTCGCTTCACTGGCAGCGCTGCATTCCAGTCCGCTGCCACTCCACTCACCCTGGAGGTATGTTACAGGGTTACCAGATTGTTCTGCAATGAGCTTGTTCCATGGTGATCAGGCTGCTCCCTACTCCATAGCTCGCTTCACTGGCAGCATTACCTTCCAATCCGCTGCCACTGCATTGTACCCTGGAGGTAGGTCACTGTTACTTGTAAGAATGTGGTAACCGGGTACAATGCAGTGGCAGGTAGGTCACCGTTACCACATTTTTTAGGGTCTTGCTGGAATAGGCTTCATAGATGTAGCCTATTTTGAGGCGCCTAAAAAATAGCCTTGTCACCGTTACATTACGCGTAAGAATGCGGTAACCAGATTCTACTGGAATGGGTTCTATGAATGGTCGCCTGGCTGCTCATTACCTGCCAACTTGGCAATGATGGCAATGCAACCTTCAACTCCTATATCTTCCTTTACCCGGCAAACAGTCATTCTTCGTGAACCACTTTCACTCTCCCTTTGTCTCTTTCCCCACCTCCAGGCCTCCTCTACCTCCCCGCCAATGCGGCAATGATTGCGTTTTTCAACTACTTCTACATCTTCCTGCACTCAATAACTCCCCTCTCATTGACTCCTCTCTCTCACGCTCCCTGGTCTCTTTCACCCCACAGGCCTCCTCTACCTTCCCGCCTATGCGGCACTTGCACACCTTCCTGCAACCCAATAGCTCCCCTTCTCTGCACCCCCTCTCATGCTCCCCTGTATCTTCTTCTGCTCCTCCAGGTCTCCTCTACCTGCCAATGCGGCAATGATTGCGTTTTTCAACTACTACTACATCTTCCTGCACTCAATAACTCCCCTCTCATTGACTCCTCTCTCTCACGCTCCCTGGTCTCTTTCCCCCCACAGGCCTCGTCTACCTGCCTGCCAATGTGGCAATGATTGCGTTTTTCAACTACTTGTGCACCTTCCTGCAACTCGACTGCTTTCTTCCTTGTCACCCCCACTCAACCCCCTCTCTCTGTGTGTCTATTTCCCCCCCTTCAGGTCTCCTCTACCTGCCTGCCAATGTGGCAATGATTGCGTTTTTCAACTACTTGTGCACCTTCCTGCAATTTGACCCTGCTGACTTCTGGTCTCTGTGTCTTGACCAAACCCAACCCAACCCAACCCAACCCAACCTGCGTTCTTTGTCCCTCACCCTCCCCAGGCCTCCTGTATCTCCCTGCCAACGTGGCAATGATTGCATTCTTCAACTACTTCTACACATTCCTGCAACTCGACCCTGCTGACGTCAGTGACCAGCTCAAGAGGCAGGGGGCCTCTGTGCCCAACACGCGGCCGGGCAAAGCCACTGCTGCGCTGATCACCAAGGTGCGTCTGGCATGCAGTTAGCTAACTTATGTGCTGAGCTCAAGAGGCAGGGGGCCTTCGTGCCCAACACGCGGCTGGGCAAAGCCACTGCTGCGCTGATCACCAAGGTGCGTCTGGCATGCAGTTAGCTAACTTATGTGCTAAGCTCAAGAGGCAGGGGGCCTTCTTGCCCAACACGCGGCCGGGCAAAGCCACTGCTGCGCTGATCACCAAGGTGCGTCTGGCATGCAATTAGTTAACTTATGTGCTGAGCTCAAGAGGCAGGGGGCCTTCGTGCCCAACACGCGGCCGGGCAATGCCACTACTGCGCTGATCACCAAGGTGGGTCTGGCATGCAGTTAGCTAACTTTTGTGCTGAGCTCAAGAGGCAGGGGGGCTTCGTGCCCAACATGCGGCCAGGCAAGGCTACAGCTGCGCTGATTACCAAGGTGTGTCTCTCTAACCCTTAGTAAGCATGCAACGGTCCTGACTTCTAGCTGGTATGGAGGTGCCTGATAACCAGCTCAAGAGGCAGGGAGCCCCCATGCCAAATTCCCAGCCCGGCAAGGTGTGTCCACGGCTACCGAGTACAAAGGTGAGTTGACGTTCAGTTAAAATATATGTTTTGAGGTTCGGGAAAACCAGGAGGGCTCTGTGTCGAGAGACCCGCTGGGGTTGCCTTTGAGATCCTCTGGGAAGGGCCACAGGCCTCTATGCCTGGGGGGTTATGGGCGCACTAACGTGCTACTTAACAAGCCCTTTTAGTTCAATGGTTAGTGACCGAGTTCTGACACTCTGGTGCCTAATACCCGCTCTTAGCTAGCCTTGTACCCTTTCCTCCCGTCTCCTCCCGCCTCCTCCCGTCACCCTCTTCCTCTGTACGTTCCCCCTCTTCTCCTTCTCCTGCCCGGTTTGACACATGCTATTACAGGTTCTCACACGTATTTCCGTGCTTGGGTCGGCATTCCTTGGCACGATGGCTGCAGCGCCAGCTCTAGTGGAAGGGATCACCCACCTCACGGCATTCCGGGGGTTTGCTGGCACATCCATTCTCATTTTAGTTGGCTGCGCCACGGACACAGCCAGGAAGGTGCAGGCGGAGCTGGTTTCGCAGAAGTATAGGACGATTGAGCTGGACGACATCAGTGCGGGCGGGGGAGGGATCCCGCCTCCCAGGTAAAGTGGACAATATAGAATTTCGTGTCTGGTAGTTTTTGTGAACCACGTAGTTGGATGCCACGATAGTGGACTTCAGGTGGATTGAACTTAGGATGACATTGAATGAATGTTTTTAGTAGAAAAGCTTCATGACTAGAAGCTTGAGAAGATCCTAACTCAAGTTTTGGACTTCTGGATGTTTTTTGCCAAGGCGTATGTTTTCAATTCACTTTGTGTGGTTGAGTGTGGTGCTCGGTGTTCCAACGTGGTGAAGAGCAGAAACCGTTCCCGACTGCGATGTAGCCTACTAAACCGTGTTCTGTGTACCGTAAATGTACGTTGCCCTGAAGGCATATTCAATATCGTTTCGCGTGAACTTTCATTCCACCGGGCACACCGAACAAAGAGTAGCATTTCTCCTTGCATGAACCATTGTTGCCCATGGGAGGCAGCTGTCCTTTGGCTCGCACTGCATCTGTCCAGCATCCATTTGGGGTGGGGTCAATGTGGGCGAGAATTCAGAAAGCGCCCTTGCGGTTTTTACAAACCCAGGGTTTTGGCCTGGATTTTAGGCTTGATTTGGCAGCCATAAAAGCACTGTCGCAAAACTCATAGCAAACAATCTCGTTCAAGCTAGTTTCGTGAGTCTAGCCTTGCTCGTCCTCCCCTTGCTCTCCCCTTATCAGCAGCACAGTAGTAGCCAGCACGTCAACCCCAGCTTCATCCGTCAGCATTCCTGTCAAGTCAGCTCACCTATACAGCCATGAAACGGCTTCATGGCATCAGTCGGCCTGAGCGAACCTTTCGCAAACGGCGTCGCCTTTCTCCTTGACGGAATCCAAGGCCGGAGGCGATGATAAGATACCCATCAATGGCAATCTCCATGAGCGGCCGAATATGTTTTGAGAATCCTGAAAGTGGTGATGCTACATCAATGCCATTCCCACGAGCTGCCGGTACTTCCTCGGTGATGCAGCAGTGATCTCGGGCTTGCGTGACCGTCCGATCATGGAGTTAATCGGAAGATCGTCCAGGACTGGATGTGGAAATGTGGACAAGTAATTATCAGCCATCTCAGCTTCTCATTTACGTGGATTCCGGATCCTCCCTCGACTTGCCAGCAACATCCGAATTCGGTTTCATTTCGGTTTAATTCGCTGCTCTCGTTTGAAGCACATCTTGTCACTGTCGAGGCTAGGAGCCTACTTCTCCTCTCTCGACTTCTCCTAATGTGCGACATCGAATCACAACACGCCATCTGGAGCATTGCGTGATCTGTAGGGGCTCGCGCCATCCTACAGTTCCTGTTTCAGGAGGCGACATTACCTCACCATGTCGTAAAAAATGTGGTTATTCCATTGCTGAGCCTACTAGGCTTGGCACTACCCACCATTTTTCTAAGAAATGTGGGTTTCCCATGATTGAACCTGCTAGGCCTGACATTACCCACCATGTTTCTTCACATGTCTCACACACTTCCCTTTCTGCGTTTTTGTGCCACCTTGCTTCCTCAGTGCGGATTTCCAAGCGAAGTCACAGATCTGGAGGGTGGTTTCCCACCAGGGAAACATCACGTCACTGCTCCTCCGCAATGTGGTACACCACCTGGGGAAGTCGCGCTTCTCGGCACTTGATGGCTCGTCTCCGCGCGTGATGGCTCCTTATGGCTCTTCTCAGCTCTCGTCATTAGTGTTGCAATGTGGTACACCACCAGGAAAGGAAACGTTACTTCACGGTTCCTCTGCGTTGTGTCTGTGTAGGGTTTCTCTCTCTCGGCTCTGTTTCGTAGTTGGAGCAGAATTGATGCTTTGAACGTAGTCCATTTCCCAACATTCCTGTCTAGTCTACAGTATTGAATATGCACCTCACCAGAATTTGCCGCTTGTGGCTGTAGTAGCTGCTAGGTATGCAGCCGAGTTGTACCCCTTCCGCTATGTGCTCTAGCTCTGCAATCATTCTAGGGAGATTATTCGTCGGAATTTTGTGATCATGTGCAGAGGCAATTAGTTTACATCTCACACTACTTAGCATCCAATCTCATAATTTATTCCTGCTACACCCATCCATCCAACCGTATGACAATGAACATGCTTGCAGTCCACCAAAAACTATTTCTTCTCACACCCAATTTCCCTCGTCGGCTGCTGCTGCTGCTCCTGCTCCTGCTGCTGCTGCTCCAGGTGGTGGTGCTGCTGCTGCTGCTGCTGCTGCTGCTGCTGCTGCTGCTGCTGCTGCTGCTGCTGCTGCCGCTCCTGCTGCTCCTGCTGCTCCTGCTCTTCCTTCTCCCCTTGCTGCAGTTCCTCTCTTCCAAAAGCTCTCCTCCCTCTGCTCTTCCCTTCCTACAGCTGCTCTTCTTGTGCTCCCGTGAACTCTCTCGTTCTGCTGTTAGTTGCTTCTGCTGTGCTTCTGCTGCTCCCGTTCCGTGACCCGTCTATGGTTTCTGCTATCCTCCCCCCCGTTGCTGCTGCTTGTTTTTGAGAATTCTCAAAAACACCCTGCAAAATCATCCTCCCCCCTGTTGCTGCTGCTCTCTACTACTCGCACCTTTTCCAGCAGCCACCCGGCTGTTTCTGCTCTCCTTCCCCCTGTTGCTGCTGTTCTCTACTCTACTACTCCCATATTTTCCAGCAGCCGCCCAGGTGGTAACAAGCGCACGCCTTACTCAGAACCCGACATCCAGTTTCCTCCGCACAGACGAAAGGAAACCTGACACACAACGCTACACCACAACGTCACTTCCAAACTAACATTTGAATCGACCCTCCGATTTCTCCTCACAAGGTGATACGGAACCATACGTAATTAGAGACATCGGAGAATCGTCCCTCTAAGAACCATCCCTCTATCACATAATTAGCCCCACTTATCTACCCACCCTCCAGCATCGTTTCCCACCTCCACCCCCCACTCCCCAAAATGATCTACCCCACTTACCATGCATCAGTTCCTTGATGTAACAAAAAAAACTGAAGTCAATTGCAGTAAGAAATCCATCCCACATCCTCTCCGGTCCTCCTGTCGTCCCTTTTGGTTTTCCCCCCCTCGGTCTCGACGGGGCTCCGGAATATTAGGGGAAAACCCCCTCAGTCCGAGCCCAGTATATTCAAAACTTCCCCCCCCCTGCACCTGCAGTGGCTCAACCAGCGCCTTGCTCCTGCTCTTACACCTCGAGGAGGAGAGTTTTGAGTCAGCCCATACCGATGTCGCCACCACCATCCTCCATTCCGCTCCTTTTACTGGCCCCTTCTCAGTCAGAGCCCAGTCTAACCGACGCTCTCCTCCCCCTGCATCTGCAGCAGCTCCACCAGCGCCTTGGCCTTGCTCTCGCACCTCGACGACCCACTCTGAGTCAGCCCACGCAGCAGCTCCATCATCTCTCCCCCCTCCGGCTTCACCTTGACCCCCCCCTCCGGCTTCACCTTAACCCCCCTCTCGGTTCGAGGCCAGTCAGCTCGAAAGTCTCCAATTAGTCGAGACTCCCCACCTAGTCGAAACTTTCTTCCCCCCTGCATCTGCAGCAGCTCCACCAGCGCCTTGGCCTTGCTCTTGCACCTCGATGACCCATTCTGAGTCAACCCACGCAGCACCTCCATCATCTCCCCCCCCCTGCATGTCCATGCAGCAGTCCGGCTCACTATTCGCCAGCGTCAGCAGCGTCATCACTCTATCCTCCTCCGCCTGTCAAGGACCCTGTATCATTGCCCCTCTCCCTCACACGTCCCTTCTCAAACCAATCCAGTCTAGTCGAAGCTCTCCTCCCCCTGCATCTGCAGCAGTTCGACTAGTGCCTTGGCCTTGCTCTTGCACCTGGAGGACCCGTTCTGAGTCAACCCACGCAAGACCTCCATCATCTCCCCCCCTTGCATATCCCTACAGCAGTCCGGCTCGCTATTCGCCAGCATCAGCAGCGTCATCACTGCATCTTCCTTCGCCCTCTGCGAACCGCCCTCCACCACAGCAACTAACGCCGGAACCGCTCCGTTGATCTTTAGCACCCCTTCGCACCCCTCTTGCAGCCGGCACAGGTTTGCTAGCACAGCCATGGCCTTTTCTTCTAGACCTACTTCAGAGCACCCCAGGAGGCTGAGCAAAACTTTTACCGCGTCTGCCCGGACGATTTCGAGCCGGCTTTGGGGGTCTCGGGATAGGTTGAACAGAACCAGGGCAGCGTCTTTTTTTCCGCGCGTGCTGCCCATGCGCAGCACGCCGACCAATGGGAGAATAGCTCCTGCTTCCCGAACCAGCGTCTGATTGGCATCCTCGACTGAAAGCGCGAAAAGGGCAGCGGCCGCGTTTTCCCGGGCAGCCGGGCTGCCCGAGCGAAGAACATCCGTTATAGCTGCAATCCCACCAACTGAAGCTATAATAGCCGGTGCTCCAGCAACCAGAGAGAGATTCAAAAGGGCTGTGACTGCCTGATCTTTTCCAGCAGGACTGTTCCTCTGCAGAAACGCCACCAACGGTGGTATACCACCTGCTGCAATCAACTTAGCTTTGTTCTCTTTGTTGCCTTTTAGCAAAGCGCGGATGGCACTTACCGCCTCCACCTTTTCCGCGTCGGAATCCGAGCCCAGGGCCTCGACTAGAGCAGGCAAATCAGCAGAGGAGGAAGAGGAAGGGTGAGGGATTTTGAGGTCTAGGTCGCTTCCAGTGGAGGAAGAGTGGCTCACGCTGTGCGTTTTCCTGTGGCTGCTGCTGCTGCTGCCGTGGCTGCCGCTGTGGCTGCTGCTGCGGCTGTGGTGCCCGCTGCTGCTGCTGCTGCTGTGGTGAGAGCTACCGTGCCCAATGCTGTGACCACTGCTACTATGACCGGTACCGTGGTGTGAAGAGCGGTGGCTGCTGCTGCTGTGGTGCTCGCTTCCCCGGTCGGTGGTGCCAATATGGCTGCTGCTGCGACTGTGTGTACCCCCGCTGCTATGAGGACGTGTATGCCTCTCCCTATGCCCGTCCTTCTGCCCCTCCTTGTGCCCTCCGTCCCTTGAGGATAAGGGGGGAGTGTGGTGATCCCTGTGAGGGTCCCTTAACCCGTGCCCATCTCTCTCCCTCTGTGCTCTGTCGAATTCAATCTTCTTATTTGCTGGCATAGACGATGTTCTGTGCAACCCCCCTCCCCCTCCCCCTCCCCCTCCGCCGCCCCCGCTCCCGCCCCCGCCCCCTCTTCCCCTCTCACCCCCCCCATCCCCACCCAACCTTCCTCCTTCACCTCCTCTTCCTCCTCCACCTCCTCTTCCTCCTTCACCTCCTCTTCCTCCGTCGCCTAAGCTTCCACTTCGAAAACCGCCCCCACTTCCACCCCCACTCCCCGACCTACCACTCCCACGTGAGCCCCCTCCTCCTCCTCCCTCCTCCTCCCCTCTCCTCGAACTCTCCCCCCTTCCCTCATCCAGACTCCTCCTCCCCCCCCACTGAGCTCCCCTCCTCTCCCTCCTCCCCTCGCACTCCCTCTCGCACCGTCCCCCTCCCCTTCCGCCCCATCCAGAGCCCCCAACTTCCTTATATCCGCTGACGTCAGCCCAGGTTGCACTGACGAAGCCCTTCTCAACCCCCCTCCCCCTCCTCCTCTCGCTCCAAACCCCCCACTACTCGGCCTCAGCCCCCCCCCTGCTCCTCCTACTCCCCCTCCTGCCCCTCCAAGCCGAGTAGGCGGGGTCTTGGGGCGAAGACTCAGATCCTCGACTAAGTCCTTCCCAGAGGCGAAGGTGACCCCTCTGCCGCTCCTAGGGCTCTTGGAAAGAGATATGGATGAGGGGAACTGCCTCCGAGCAGGGCTGTCTGTAGAAGGATCCCCCGCACGACCGTCCGCCTTGCTGCTGCTGGTACCGCTGCTGGTGGCGGTGCCAGTGGTCTTGGTACTGTTGTCGTCTTGGCTGACTGTAAACGAGAATGGCTCGCTATTGTCACGCTCGCCAGAGGAACCAGTTCTCCTGTGCGTTCCCCCTCCCGATTTTCCACCACCACTACCACCCAGGTCAGCACCAGAACCAGCACCACCACCACCGCCAGTAGCAGCAGCACCAGCACCGCTGGCTTTAAGCTCGTTCACAAAATCATGGAACGAAAACGCTTCCTGGGGATCCCCACCCCGTCCCCCTCCCCCTCCCCCGCCTAGCAACCCCCCCGCACTCCCCGGCCTATCTTTCGCCCCCACAGGCACCAGAGAGGAGGCCCTACGGAGACTAGAAAGCGGCCTGGACTTCCCAGACAGAACCACGCCCCCCACCCCGGGAACGCCCGCTACTGCCGCTCCCCCTGCTAGAGTCACACCTGGTAAGCCTGCCAGCCCGCCGCCGCCCCTTTCTAGCATGCTTCCGCCGCCGCCGCCGCCGCCGCCGCCGCCGCTGCTGTCGTGGAGGGAAACGGAGTGGCCCCGCCTGTGCGACTGTGACAGGTCGTAGCCCTGTTTCCCCTCCGCCCCACCCTCCCCTCTCCCCCCCCCTTTCCACGGGCCGTCTTGACCAATGGAGCTCCGGAGGGGGCTAAGAGGCGGCTGTCCGCCAGCCGAGACAGAGTGGGGCACGCGGCGAGTGGCTGAGTCCCCGCTCTCGCTCTTCCCCCCTCCCCCTGCGCCGTCGCCCTTCCCCGCCCCCTTCTCCTCCGCAACGTCTTCCAGAGCACCAAAGAAGGAGTCGCGCGCAATCTTCCGCGAGTTGCGGGGCTGGAGGGATCCGCTCCGCAATAGCCCCATCCCGCTCCGCCGCCCCACGCTTCCCCCTATTGGCACCCGATTCCCCCCGAGTCCGCGGAAGGGGTCTCCGCTTGTTCCCCCTCCACCCGCCCCCCCTCCGCCAAGCCCTTCTCTCCGCCCAGACGCGGAACCCTGCAGCCTGGAAGCTCCCGCTCCTGCTCCGCCCGCGCTTCCCGCATCTCCCGCGCCCCTGCTTCCCCTTCCGCCGATCTCGAATTCTCCGCTGCTGGGGTTGCTTCTTCCGCCGTCGTCCCTCTCTTCCCGCTCATCCCTCCCCCGCCCAAGCCCCGAGGGTTGAAGGCGGTTTGAGGATAAGCCGGATGGGTTCCTGCCCCCGCTATTAGAACCCCTGTCATACTCTGCACTCCTCCTCCCTCCCCTCTCCTCCCGCTCTGATGAGTACTCCTTCTCGACTCGAAACTCCCCGCTATTGCGACGCTCGTTATAGGAACGGTCACGATCGTCATCAGAGCGGAAATTGCGCTCATCCTGATCACTGTCCCTGTCCCTGTCCCTACTCCCCCCACGCCCTCGATCAGAATATTTATCTCCTGACCGTTTCTCCCCTAACATCTCTTCCACAGCCTCGTGAAACGCGTCTTTTTTTCCGCTGCCCCCGCGACTGCCCGCAGCCGATAAATTCTGCACCTGGACCGACGATGACCGACGCATTGCGCTTCCCATCTTCCGCCCCAAGCTTCCGCCCGCCATCACCCCCGCGCCCCCCAAGTTAAGCCTGCGATTGACAATCGCGCCGTTTCTCCCCCCTTCGCCGTCTTGCCGTCCGTGGCCCGGGTCTCCTCCCTCCCGCCGGCCTCCCGAGAGTTCATTCTTGCTTCCGCTTCCGCCTTTACCTCCGTCAAGCGGATCAGCAGCTCGGCGCAACCCAAGAGGCTTCTCCCCGCCTGCGCCGAGCCCCTTGGCGCCACCTCCCCCTTCTCCGCTCCCCCCCTTCCCCTCACCGTCCGCCCCCTCGGTCTCTTTCAGTGCGCGGAGAAACGCCCCCATTGCGCCGCCCCCCTTGGGTTGCAGCGACTGCGATCGGGAGATCCGGACCGTCCGTGTTGCGCCGCTTAGTAACGCGTTTCCCCCCGCTCCCCTCAAGCCTCCCGCAAGTTGAAGCCGCCCCGGCGGCGTCCGTGGGGGTTCCCCGTGCCCTCCGCCAGTGCCGCCGCTGCCGCCGCCGGCGGGAACGAACCCGCCGAACGCGGAGTTAGAATTGGAGTCGCCCTTTCCGCCGTCAAGTTTCGGCGCAGACGCTTGTGCTCGCTGCAGCTCTTGACGGAAACGGATAACCTCGTCCATGTGCTCGGCTGACGATGACGGAAGAACGCCATTCTGACCGTCAGCTTGTGGATCGCTGCCGGCTGTTTTACCGGTCGGACTTGACGGACCGATCCGGGTGACGGTTAGACCGGGAGCAAGAATCAAGCCGTGAGCATCACACCAATCAGTGGTCAGCTGACGCAGCGCCTGATTGGGGAAGAGGCGCATGTGCTCTTGGTGTTTCCCCGTTATAGGACAGGCTCGTTTGCCTTGTTGGAACCATTTCTCAATGGCGCCGCGTTCAAAGGTCAGGCCGGATCCGATAATAACAGGATCCGATAAGAGCTGGTGCGAGAGCGGGCAGATGAATTCTGATGGAACTGTAGGGCGCTCGCCATCGTGGTTAGGATGCTCTAGCTGGTACACTGCTGGTCCTGACATAATTACTCGTCGGCCTTAGAAAGCAGGCATAAATATAGGTGTCTTTTTTTTCCAAAACAACAAGCGTGTGAAAAATGGCAATTCACAGCTCCAATTGGGGTGGCGTCCAGTGAGAAACCTAGCGTCTCCTCTTACGCCTGACTCGATTGTGAAATCACTCGCTTGACTTGTCTAACTTTTGACCTCGCAACCTCCGCCTGCCGGTTCTACGTCACAACTAATGTCTCTTGCGCACCAGCCATACTCCTACTCTAAAAATACCGAAGATCGGTTAGAAGACTGTCACCCATTCTGGCGGGAGCTCGAAAGTTCTCGACGGCAGAAATAGGGGCACAGAAAATGGGAGTTGGTGTGGAGTGCAACAGGCAACAGCCATGAAAACAAGGCAGGAAGGGGTGAACAGTTGGGTGGATGGAGAAGGGAGGGAGGAACAGAAAGCTAAAAACTTGGGTGTGGTGAGGTGGGCGACGGCGTGCGAGAGGGCGAGTTAGGTGTGAGCGACTGTGTGCGAATTTGCGAATCTTTAACCTCCAATCGACGACATACCGTCGAGGAAAGCTCGAGGCTACGGCTGGTAGTTTTGGCGGGAAAGTTTGTGCGACACTGTCGACGACATCAGACTAGCAAAACGGCAAACAGAGCTCGAGGGAGACACAGGTTGGGGGTGTGGGGGAGAGGGTTGATCGCCCAACCAACCAGCTTCAAGGGGCCAAGCCTGACCCAAAGAGGACTATTACTGTACACTTCAGTACTAAGAATTCAGATTACGTCTGCAGAGGACTCCTGAAAATAGCTGATGTACAACTTTGAGTATGTAATACGCTCATTGAAAGTAGCAAGTCAACCATTCAATGTTACTAAAGCTATGGTATTTCCAATCGAGCAGGTGGTCTCAGCCATTGCTGGATGGGTCCTGCCAACTTTTCTTTCCTCAACTGGGCGTGATGCAGCCTCTCTGCATACTCCATCCTCTTATCTCTCAACCTCTCCAACTTCTCCTCTATATGCACAAGCCTGGCTCTTAGCCTCTCTTCCTCACCCCCCCCTTCCACTTCGGAAACACATTTCCTTCCTAAAGCTGCACTGTTTTCACAATGTGAGTCGCAGAAAACTCCTTCCTCACCGCCCCATTCTTCCTCATCGTTGTCATTACAGCTGGCATCTTCGGCCCTTGCCATACCGTCTTCATCATTCCTCAGGTGAGCGAGCTGCAGCTGCACCGAGGTTGTGTCCACGCAGTGAGAGAAGACCGAGAAGGAAAATGGGCTTGTTCCTTCGTCGTTGGATGTGCAGGAAACTGCACCAGGAGAAGCTACGACGGGAGATGTGACGGTATAGGAGGTGACACAAGAGCCACACAGGCCTGGAGATCTGGCAGTTGGAGAGGAGCCAGATTGGGAGCAGGGGAAGGTAAGCCCGGGTAATGGCTTTGGTGAGAATGCGGCCAAAAGGATGGACTGTGGGGAGGTGAGGGACAAAGGTACTACGGAAGGTGATTTCGGCTCAATCACGATCCGCGAATTGTCATGGCCTTGGGAATCAGCAGAGCTAGGCCGGGAGACGACTGGTGGGGCGGTCACACAGGGAGTTTTACGACCCGTGTCAGCTTTCCTCCGGTCTGATTCGCGCGCCGCCTTTTGAGGCGCCTCAGAGGCTTGAGAATTAGCAGAGCTTGGCCGGGAGAGGACGGGTGGGGCGGTCATACAGGGGGGAATTGCCGCCATTCGTCGTCCCCTACGAAGTTTCCCCTGATCGAATTTGAGGGCCTGATCGCAGGACTGATTGTCATGCGAGAATGATCGCTGTACACTTTCTCCCGTTTCAACTCCGGCTGCGTACGAGCTCAGGTTCCGGTACGCGCCTTCCGCCTCGGCGTCGCTACAATCACTCCTGCTGTAGTCACTTGCTCCGCGGCTTGCGAAGTCGTTTCTCGGCGGAGGAGCTGCGCACGCGAACAGGCGCAGGGCGGCTCCGCGCAGGCCTTGATTCCGCCGATGCCGTCTTCCCCCCAGCGGAATCCCGCGGGTTTTGATCTCGCCGCCTGCCATTTCAGCCGCTTGCACGGAGAAGTTTTGCGCTGCTTCTATATCAACGCCCGTTTCTCTGATCATGGCGGCAAATGGTTATGAAAAGAACCAGTACACTATGAAAGTACCGAAGAGCAGGGCCGGACAGAGAAAGTCGATCGACGGAAGTGCGGGTGATCGCAGGAGGTACCGGCTGTGACTGACTAATGGCCTAGCTTAGTGGTGTGCTGGTGTTGCTCTGGCCTATAGATTCCTGAGAGCTTGCTGGGAGTTCTGTACTCCAAATTCTCAGATTATTTCGAGGTGTGCTTGGAAAGTTATACACAGCATGATTCGATTTATAGTGGGTCCCGAACTGACCATGCCTGGCAGGATTTACCGAGTCAGATTCCACGCCGCGAAACGAGACTGTGGCTAGGATGACGTCAGGTTTGGGCTGTGCTTTGAGAGGCGTGTCTCGTCAGCATTCTGATCTGTGTGTCTCATCTAAACGTTGACTGGTTCTCAGCGCGGCTCCAAAACAAGGCACGAGGCTTCCGTTACTGGAGCCCAGAACAGGTTCGGCACTCTCCCGTACGGAAACGGTTCTGATTGTCGGCTCGGAAACTGTCATAGCGGAAAACAGGTTCGGATAGGAAGGTCCGGCCTGGAGAGGCAAGAGCACCAGGCCTGGAGAGGCAAAAGAGGCAGCACATAGGCAAAGCAGGGGCTGTATGGCAATGCTCATGTAACCGCTGGGAGTGGTGTTGAACGGGGACCACACGCACTGCCTGCACAGGCAGGCGCAAGTGGGCAGCAGTTGTGTCCGTTTCAACTGCCAGAATGTGTCCAGCTGGCTGGCCGAACTTGCATTTGTCGGCGCTGACAAGCACGGGGACCCGCTGACTGGCTGAAGCCAGAAACGACGTAAGGCTCGAAGGCCAGATAACCTGTTACAACAGTCTCGATAACAATACATGCTGGTATGGAAGACATACACGTGAGGCAGGAGGTTCCGTATATCCAAAACAAGAAGGGCATAGATGTAAAGTATATCACATGAGGGCACAGCTGCACACAACGGCGTTTGAAAAGGGCTAGATGGAGGGAGGAGGGGGTTCCCCAAACCAACGTGGAGGATCATAACCAGATGGACCTGCAAACAAGAAACAACCCAATGTTGAGAAGACAGAAGAGAAGGGAGTGCCAACGCAACAAACATACATGGAACATGGGGTTTGACTGCAGTACCACCAGCAAGGATTTTCAGAATAACCAAAGCAGAACACACCCAGAGTCCTCACCCAGTGGGTTACAGCGTAACAGTCTCCAAGCAGTCAGAATCCCTCCCTTCACAATGCCGTACTTGCGCAGTGCCATGACCGAGTACTCGCTGCATGTAGGGACGAACCGACACGAGGCCGGAATCCAGGGGGATATTTCTCCTGCGTGATGGCGAGGGGAGGAAAGAGGGCGTGATAATAGGGGACGGAGTGAGTGAGAAAAGGGAAGGGGTTTAAGAGGGAGAGAGGTATCTAGATGAATATTCGCTGCATCTGAGGTTAAACGGACAAGAGGCCGGAATCCAGGGGGATATTTCTCCTGCGATAGCGAGGGGAGGAAATAAGGCGTGATGGGAGATGAATTGAGGAAAGAGGGAGGCACAACCGAGTGCTCGCTGCATGTGGGAACGACGAACCGACACGAGGCCGGATTCCGGGGGGGCGATATCACCTCAGGTGGTGAGGGGGAAAAGAGTAAGCGGGGGGAGTTGAGGTGAGTGTGAAGTGATGAGGAGGTTGGGAGGGGAAGTAAGGTCAAAATTGCCAACTTGTTGTGCACACAAGCTCACATGAGGCTGGAATCCTGAGGAAAATCTCCCCCAAAATGGTGAGGGCTTTCTGGAGGTTGGGAATGGGATTCTTCCTTACAGTCACACTGGACTCAGATGCTTCCTTACAGTCACACTGGACTCCGATTCTTCCTTACAGTCTGTTTGAAAGCCGATTCTTCCTGAAATCTCAACTCGTTCTTGTAGCACTTGAAGATTCGAACCGCCAGCTCCATGGCAGGGGAAGCTGAACCGAACCCCTACAGACGTCCCTCCTACTCTCTGCTAAAAGCCCTTCTGTACAATCACAGCTCACTCTTGTAGCACTAGAGGAAGCTGAATCCCCTTTAGAAGCTCCCCCTTATCTCTCACCCTCACTCACTCACAGCAGGGAAAGCCGAAACCCCAGGCACCCACTCACTCTTGTAGCACTTGAGGATCCGAACCGCCAGCTCCACAGCAGGGGAGGCAGCGGAATCCCCTTCTTCAAACGCCCCCCCTCCTCTCTGCCCCTCCCCTTCGCCGCTCAGGCCCACTTCTTCCTTCTCTGGTCCATTATCCCCACTATCTCCCCAACCCCCACTATCCCCCCCTGCTCTTCCCTTTCCTCTCCCCCTACCCTGCCTCTCTCCTCCCTCCCCCTGTTCGCTTCCTTCCTGTGTTTCCGCATCACCCCTCGCAACACCCCTTCTGAACCTCCTCCCATCTGTTGTTACAAGAAGTGTTCTGTTAACGGTGCCTGGGGAAACAGCTGCTGAAGGGAAGCCGCACCACGGACAGTCACATCTCGCTAGAGTCACATCCCCCTCAGCTGTTCGAGCCTTTCTGGTACCCGTTACAAGCTTCTTCGTAGCGGCTGCTGTCACAATTCTCCGGGGCCTTGTGTGTACGTTCACGTCAGCGATGGCGTCACTCCCTGGACCCCACCTTCGGGTTGAACAGATGTCATAAGGACCGTTGATCCCGCTGCTACTCCAGGCACTGACGCATTGTGAGGCTACGAAATTATCGTTCCGATTAGAATCGTTACGTAGATTAGCCGACCGGGCTACACTCCCTCGTAAACTGCTGCTGCTCATACAGTGGCGCAGTCTACCCTTGTAACGAGTACACGCAGCGCGCTCGACAACGATGCTTGCAGCAGCGTGATGTGCAGTGATAACGGTCATGACGTGGAGCCGCAGTGGGAACCAACCAGGCAGTGCGTCAATCAACAGGCTACCCACCAGGATCTGTGCTAGAATCTTCGGTCCTTCCAGGTTTGGCCTGGTTGAGACGGGACTTGGTTCGTGACTTTTGCCTGGTATCGGACGCGTTAACAGAGTGGTTTGGCCATGCATGTTAGAGGAGATCATTTTACAACAACTAAAATTTCTACCGCAAATCCATAGGAGCCACAATGGAACACTAGCGGTCGACACTAGCTTCAATGGAATTACACCTTCGTCATCTATTGCCGCGTTACATTGCGGCTTCACTCATCTTAAATCATCACGCTGGGACTTGCTTCTAGGACTAAAACCCCCTGGCAAGACATTTGTTAGCACATCACCCTCTCTATCGCTACCCGACAAATCGCTTTGCTTCCATAGACGGAGCAAAGAGGAAAGACTCGGCAATCTTGAGAGCGATCGTGTAGGACCCAACCCAGGTGTATAAATAGAAGGTGTAGATGCCGATGTAGTATTAGAGGAGGATACAGGAACAGAAGGTTGACATATGGAAGCGGATTGTGCTCTAGACGAAGAGGAGGAAGCGGGAGCGGGAGCGGAGGAGATGGATGAAGAGGAGGAGAAAGAGGAGGAGAACGAGGAGGAGGGAAAGTGGGAGGTGAGGAGAGTGGAGGAGGATATTGAAGTGGTGCGACGGGGGGTTGTGAGAGGAGAGGTAAGGGAGGAGAGGTTACGATACAAGGCGTTGGTGCCGGTGGTAGCAGCTGTGGCTTCGGCTCCGGTGGTGGGGAGGAGAGAGGAGGAGGAAGGGATGGGAGAGGAGGAGGGGAAGTGGGAGGTGAGGAGAGGGAAGGCGGAGATGGAGGTGGTGCGGCGGAGGGTTGCAAAGGAGGCTGAGAGGGAGGAGAAGCCACGATATGAGGGATTCACACTGCTGGTAGCAGCGGCCGTGCTGCTGCTGCTGCTGCTGCTGCTGCTGCTGCTGCTGCTGCTGCTGCTGCTGCTGCTGCTGCTGCTGCTGCTGCTGCTGCTGCTGCTGCTGCTACTGCTGTTGCTGCTGTTCGTGGGTTTGCTGTTGCTAATGCTGCTGCTGCTGCTGTTCGTGGGTTTGCTGTTGCTGCTGTAGCTGCTGATACTCCTGCTAAAACTCCTCCTCCTGCCGCTGCTCCTCCTGCCACTGCTGCTGCTGCCGCTGCTACTGCTGGCACTTCTCCCAATGGAGCGCAAGTTTGCAGAGGCTTCAGAAGGCACATCAAGGGAGGCCACGGCCTGCTTCTGAGTCGACGAGGAGGGTTTGTGATGCTCCAGCGCTTCCGAATGATCCACCAGTGACTCAAAAGTGGTGGGGAGATGGGGGAAGAGGGAGGTGGAGACTGCTCGGAGAAGAGAGGGCGGCCTGAAAGGGAGGAGAGATGTGGATAGTGTGCGGAAAAGAGAGGGGGGCTGGGAGGGAGGAGGAGAATGGGAGGAGGGGGCATGCGGCTCGGTGCTGCTGCCATTCTTTGCATTTTCTTCCATAGCAGCAGCAGCAGCAGCAGCGGAAGCAGCTCCTCGCATTTCTCTGGCTGCTTCTGCTGCGATCTCCATCAGCTCTTTGACCTCCTGACCCCCTTTCTCACTCATTTTCTCACTCACTCCCTCACTCACATTCTCCATCACTCTCTCACTAACCCCCTCCTCTCCCTCCACGTTACCCTCACGCCCATATCTTGCTTTCACCCCCTCTATCTCCCCACCAACCACTGTGGCATGAAGTGACCCCTCCTGAGTTGACTCAAAAGTCACCCTCTCTGTCTCTATATTCCCCTTCCCATTTCCAACCTCCTCCCCTCCCTCTGCGCTACCCACACCCCCATATCTAGTGTTCACCCCATGTGTTTCCCCATGAGCACTGTTGTCACAACCCACACCTGACTTTGCTGCCTCCCTTTCATCACACTCCTCCTCCTTTTCTTTGAACTGCACCCCTTCTCGCACAGCAGGAGCAAGGAGATCAGGGAAAAGCGCTCTACGCTGTGTTGCTGCCACTCCTGGGAACGAGCTTCCTGCAACAGTAGACAGCGTGGAGGAAGGCTTTTGAGTCGACTCAAACGCAGCAGCAAGAGGACCGGAGAGCACTTTTCTAGGCTCTGCTGCTACTTCTCCTGGGAACGAGGTGCCTGCAACAGGAGGAAGTCTGCTGTCTCCTTGTCTGCTGGATTCCCCCTTGGCATCACGATCCTCCCTTCCTCCACTGATGCACTGTTTCCCATCAAGAAACGGTCCGTTGAAGGGAGGTTTTGCCAGCCCGGAAGACAGCCTGTTATTGCAAGGGAGGGTCGCCTGCTGCTGCTGGTGTAGCTGCCCGACCTTTCTGCAATGTGCTCTGCGGTTATTGCTGCTGCTGCTGCTGCTGCTGCTGCTGCTGCTGGTGCTGGTGGTGGGGTTGTGTGTGGTGGCGCTGATGCTTGTGGTGACAGGGACAGCAGCAGGAGGATTGAATGAGAATGACAAGTCTGCTGAGATGCTCCTGCTGTGCCGGTTAGAGCTTAGACTCTGATTGTAACCAGTTCTAGTGGTGCTGCTGCTGCTGCTGCTGTTGCTGGTGATTCTGCTGCTGATGCTTGTGCTCGTGGTGGCAGAAGCCACAGCAGCAGGAGGGTCGAATGAGAAGTCTGCTGAGATGCTTCTGCTGTGGCGGCTAGGGCCGGAGGAAGAACGGGAAGCAGCAGGCGGTTTTCGAAGCGAATTGACAGCTGCCTGAGAGCCAACCGTGTGCGAGCGACGCCAGCTGCCAGCGGGCTCTAAACCAGGGGGGTCAGGTGGGCGTGGAAGTGGCGAGACAGTCACCTGGGAGCCAACTGTGTGCGAGCGTGTCCAGATGCGGGATTGTTGAGGGGAGTTGAGTCCAGTGGACATTGGAGGTGGCCGTTGAAACGGTGTTACAGCAGCCTGAGAGGTGACTGTGTGCGAGCGAGACCACACGCGCGCATTGTGAGGGGAATCTGTGTCAAATCCAGGGGGGTCAGGTGGCGATGGTGCAGCAGTCACTTGGGTGCCGAGTGTGTGTGAGCGTACCCACATGTGAGCCTTGTGGGGAGTGGGGAGTTCACGGATGTGTGGGGATGGGCTCCGGGGGTCATGAGAGTGTGGGGATGGGCCGCGGGGGGATCGAGGTGGCAGGAGCTGATTGGACGGAAGGAGTGGTGATTGGTGTGGATAGGAAGGGGGCGGACTGCTGTGACCAGGGGAAAAGGCTGGAGAAGAGTGAGAAAAGGTGGAGGGGATGGGGGAGGAGGGAGGGAGAGAGGAAGAGGGAGGGAGAGAGGAGGGAGGAAGAGAGGAGGGAGGATGAGAGGAGGAGGGAGGAAGAGAGGAGGAGGGAGGGAGAGAGGAGGACGGGAGGAGAAGGGAGGAGGACAGGAGAGGAGCATAGGGCTGGTGGGAGGAAGACTGGGATCCAGCAAGGGAGCTGGTGCTGGCAGCAGCAGCGCTGGCAGGTTCGGCGCTGGTAGGTTCGGCGCTGGTAGGTTCAGCGCTGGTAGGTTCGGCGCTGGTAGATTCGGCACTGGCAGGTTCGGCGCCTGCTGGAGGATCAGCAGCATCAGCGGCAAGAGAAGGCTCGATTGAATCTGAGGGGAAAGGGGCGGCCAGACGAGGAGGCGAGTCAGAGAAGCCAGAAGGGGACTTTACGAAGTGACTCGTAAGGCGCCTCTGACGCGACCTTTGACGCGACCTTTGAGGCGACCTCTGAGGTGAACTTTGAGGTGACCTTTGAGGCGACCTTTGAGGCGACCATTGGGGCGATCTTTGTGGCTCCTCGAACGGCTGACGAGGAGGCGATCTTTGAGAGTGAGAGAAGCCAGAAGGGGACTTCATGAAGGGAGGGTGGGCGCATGCTGTTGCCCAATTGGCAAAACGCGTTGCAGAAACGCTGCTGCTTTCTGGCTCACGTGCAGCATTGGCGGTAGCAGAAGCAGCAGCAGCACCAATCGCTGCTGCTCCTGTTGCTGCTCCCGCTGCTGCTGCTGCTGCTGCTGCTTCTCCTGCCGCTCTCCTTCCACCCAACCCTGCATCTGCAGCAAAACCACCCCTCCTCCCACCCCTCACAGTCCCCCAAACGGGCGAATCTGCTGACTCCGAGTCACGCGAGTCGATACTTGCTACTTTACCTGCTGCTCTTACAGCTCTGACTCCACTCACTGTGGCTTCCCCAGCGGCAAAACCCCCTCGTCCTCTTCCTCTCACCGTCCCCCACACGGGCGAATCAGCTGATTCTGAGTCAAGCAAGTCAACAACTTCCCTAGCACCAGCCACAGTAGCACAACGACGCACCTCTCCCTCGTTCTCTCTGTAAGCTTTGCTGTGCACTCCCCTCCTCTCGCCCCTGACTGTGCCCCACACGGGCGAATCTGCCGACTCTGAGTCAAGAGCATTCACAGATTCCCTAACACCAGTCACAGTAGCACGCCGGCACACCTCTCCGTCTTCCTCCCTATAAGCTTTGCTGTGCACTCCCCTCCTCTCGCCCCGGACTGTGCCCCACTCGGGCGAATCTGCCGACTCTGAGTCAAGGGAATCTGCAGCCCCCCGAGCACCAGTCACAGTAGCCCGCCTCCGCATCTCTCCGTCGTTCTCCCCACGGCCATCCCTGTGCGATTCCCTCCTCTCGCCCCTCACTGTGCCCCACACGGGGGAATCCACCGACTCTGAGTCAAGGGCTGGGTCTAGCGTAGATGTATCTAGACGATGCCTATAAGCCTCCCCACCTGCATCGTCATAAGCCTTCCCACATGCTTCGCTATAAGCCTCTCGTTTATCCTCCCTATAGCCTCCTCTGCCTCCCCTCTCCCCCCTGCCTGTGCCCCGCTCAGGGGAGTCGATAGACTCTGATTCAAGAGACGATTCGTCCATCGCATTGAGTGCAGCAAAGCCCAGCGCATAGGAGTTGAAAGGATTATGCTGGACATGCCCCCCGTCCAACCGTCCTTCCCCCTGAAAGCTATTCCTGCAAGCCGCACCCTCCCCTCCTCCCCCCATCGACCTCCCCCTCCCCAGGGGCGAGCGCCGTCGGCCCGCCAAACCCCGCCTCTCTCCCCTTGCTCCGTCCTCAATTACCCTATTCCCAAGTTCCAGGGAAGCACGCACCTCCCCTCCTCCTCCCCCCATCGACCTCCTTCTTCCCAGCGGCGAGCGCCTTCGGCCCTCTGTCCCCCGCATCTTTCCCGCTCCTCCCTGCTCATAACCCCTATTCCTGTCGACCAAGAAATCAATCTCTTCCCCCCATCCTGCCCCCCCCATCGACCTCCTTCTTCCCAGCGGAGAGCGCCTTCGGCCCTCTGTCCCCCGCCTCTCTCCCGCTCCTCCCTGCTCATAACCCCTATTCCTGTCGACCAAATAATCAATCTCTTCCCCCCATCCTGCCCCCATCGACCTCTGCCTCCCCAGCGGCAAGCGCCAACGAGCCCCCGAATCCCGCCTCCCTCCCAGTCTTCCCCATTCCTTATCACCGCTTTGAGGGGGCTCAATCTCCCCACCTTGTACCGCCAAAGAAGCAGCCTCCAATCCCCCTCCCCCCATCGACCTCCTCCTTCCCAGAGGCGAGCGCCTTCGAGACCCGGAATCCCGCCCCCCTCTCGTTCTTCCCCATTCCATATCACCATTCCGAGGCTCAGGGGGCATTCCAACAGAGTCAAGCGAGTCAACGCAGGTCTTCTCAGCCGCATCGAGCTTCCCGGATCCCCTCCTCCCCCGCGGCTCTCGGGTTCGGTACTCTAACGGGGGTTCTCTCAGAAAGTCAAGCGAGTCAACGCAGGTCTTCTCAGCAGCACCCAGCGTCCAGGACCCCCTCCTCTCCAGCAGCATCCCCCTTCCTTGGGAATCCAGCACTGTTTCCGGCTGTAGCCAAGGCTTTTCAGCAAATTCAAACGGGTCAACGCAGGTCTTCTCAGCAGCACCCAGCGTCCAGGACCCCCTCCTCCCCAGCATTCCCACACCCTCAGTGGCTTGGACTACTTCCACCGACTCTAAAGGCGGCACAGGAGGCATTTCAGCAACGTCGTCAAACGAGCCCGCGTGGGTCTGGCCACCACAGGACCGGAGATCCAGTGATCTTTGCTTATGAATCCGCCCCCCCTTCTTGTCCTTGAGCTGTGCTACTCTTGATTTCACCACCGGCTTTCCAAGAAAGTCAAACGGGTCAACGCAGACCTGGGCGGTGGCTGTGCGCTCAGCAGAAAAACCAGCAGAACCAGTAGCATTACTACCAGCTGCAGCAGCAGCAGCAGCAGCAGCCCCAGCAGCAGCATGCAGAGGCACATCTGACCCTCTGCATCTGCCAGCGGCTCCAGCAGCAGCAGCAGCAGCATCTGATAAATCATCTTCAGAAGTGAGCTGGCAGATCGGCAATGGTCCTAGTTCCCCCATTCCTGCCCCCCCCACTCCTGCCCCCCCCACTCCTGCCCCCCCAACTCCTGCCCCCCCACTCCTGTCCCCCCCACTCCTGCCCCCCCCATTCCTTCCCCCCCCATTCCTTCTCCCCCCATGCCTGCTCCTATCCGCCCTAGTCGCTGCTGCTCCAAACTCCTTCCCTTCCGTGCATCCGCTCGTGTACCTTTCACACTATCCCCGTTTGTAGCTTCCTTGCTACCATCTAAGCCCCGGCTGAACTCCCATAGGTCAAGAGACCTGTGTCGGGGCCCTAGCAGCTGCAGCTGCTGCTGCTGCTGCATCTGCCCCTCTCCCCTCTGGAGCCTTTGCTCCTTATCCTCTTGCTTCCCCCTTCCTTGTATGTGCTGCTCCTGCTCTTGCTGCTGCTGTTGCTGGCTCTGCTCCTTCCCTTTCTGTTCCCCCCTCTGCTGCTGCTGCTGCTGCTGCTGCTGCAAATGCAGCACCTTTGGAGTAGCCTTCTCCTTTACCAACACACTACTCGCAGTGCCTCCCCCGCCTTTCTCCTCCACACTCCTTCCCCTCTCCTCTCCTCTTCGCTTCTCTTCCCCTCCTCTCATCTTCATTTCTCCTCCTCTCCGACTCTCCCCTCCTCTCATCTTCACTACTCTCTGCCTTCCCACCTGTAGACTCCTAGGGTCTAGAGACGCCTGCCTAGCACCAAGGCCCCCCAATCTCGGCCCCTCGGGAGGTTTCCCAAGAAATTCCAGAGGGTTGGCTGCTGCTTCCCTTGCAGGTGCATTTGCCAGTGCATTGGCTGCTGCTTTCCCCACCTGTAAACTCCTCGGGTCGAGAGACGCCTGTCTACCTCCCAACCGTCGCGTTCTAGGCCCCTCGGGCGGCTTCCCAAGAAACTCCAGGGGGTTGGCTGCCGCTTCCCTTGCAGCTGCACTTCCAACAGCACTTGCACTTGCACTTGCACTGGCCGTTGCAGTTGCAGTTGCAATGGCCGCTGCATGTCTTACCTGTAAGCTCCTGGGATCTAGAGACGCCTGTCTCCCTCCCAGCCTTCGCATTCTCGGCCCCTCGGGTGGCGTCCCAAGAAACTCCAGGGGGTTGGCAGCTGCCTGAGCGGTTGCACTTGCAGCACCTGCAGCACCTGCAGCACCTGCAGCATCTGCAGCACTTGCATTTGCATTTGCAGAGAGCCTTAGAGTTTTTGGATCTAGAGATGCCTGCCTTGCTCCCAGCCTCCGCGTTCTCGGTCCCTCGGGCGGCTTCCCAAGAAACTCCAGGGGGTTGCCTGCCGCTTCTCTTGCAGTTTCCCTAGCCGATGCACCTTCACCAGCAGCACCTGCACCAGCAGCACCTTCACCAGCAGCACCTGCACCAGCAGCACCTTCACCAGCAGCACCTGCACCAACAGCACCTTCAACAGCAGCACCTGCACCAGCAGCACCTGCACCAGCTACAGTTGCAGTAGTAGAGAGCACAGAGCTATCCAGCATGTGTTTGTGTAGAGGACTGGTGGCAAGAGGGCTTCTAGAAAGCGGGCTATAAGAGGGAGGGCTTTCTGCACTGGGACTTCTTAATTGGGGGCTCCTGATACCTGGGCTCCTTAGATGCGGGCTCCTTATACCAGGGCTCCTTATACAGGGGCTTGTAACTGAAGGGCTATTAGGGAAAGTGCCTTTAGCAGAAGGGCTTTTAGGTAAAGGGCTTTTAGCAGAAGGGCTTCTAGGCAAAGGGCTTCTGGCAGACGGGCTTTTCGGAAAAGGGTTTAACGAATTAAGATAAATTCTTTCAAGATGCGGGCTTGGGCTTATAAGAGAGGTGCTTTTACGAAAAGCAGTGCTTGGAGGGCTTCTAAGGGGTGGAGGGACGCTTGGAGGACTTCTCAATGGGCTCTTTGGCAGGTCTGTTGTCCGCCTGAAACTGCTCCTCCCAGCAGCAGCAGCAGCAGCAGCAGCAGAAGCAGCAGCAGCAGCAGCTGTAGCCCTTGCTCGAGGGTCTTGGGAGGGGATACCGGAATGCGACTTGGCTAACCAATCCCCCACCCTCTCCTCCCACTCCCCTCCTCCACCTCCTCCAGCTCCTCCTGCTCTCCCCCTTAGGTCCAAAGACCCCCGTCGCGCTAATCTCTCTCTGTTTCTCGAAAGCAGCTCACTCCTCAAGTCAGGCTCTTCCCCATAGTGCGCCGCCCCCCTCCCATCCCCTCCCACATCGAACGAGCCCCATCTTCCGAGCGACTTCTGAGGAGTCTCAAAAGTCGCCCCGCTCACTTCCCCTCCCACATCCAGAGAACACAATCGCCCGAGCGCTTTCCCCCCGTCGTACGAAGCATCCCAACCCCCTCTTCTCCTACCCGTCCACCGCCCTCTCAAGTCTAGAGACCCTCGTCTCTCAAGTCGCCCTTCCAGCTCCCAACCCCCATGTCCCTCCTTCTCTCCCCTCCCACCACCACCGTCCCCCATAAGCAACGGCTTCTGACCGAAACCCCGCTCAAGACCACTCTCCTGCTCGGTGGCAAAGCTTTGCTCCAGCCCCCGCTTGCCCCCTTGTGTGCCCCCCTCCCATCCCCTCGGGTCCCACGATCCTTTCCTCCCCAGGCTCCCCCTTGCCCTCGAATCCAGCGATCTCTGCCTCGAAATCCGCCCCTTCTTCTCCTTGAGCTGTGCAAGCCTTGACTTCACCACCGGCTTTCCAAGAAAGTCAAACGGGTCAACGCAGGGCTGGGCAGCAGGAAGACCAGCAGAACCAGCTGCAGCAGCAGCAGCTGCGGCAGCAGGAGTTTTTTCAGGTATTTCTGGCCCAGAGAAGTCAGAATCAGAGGGCTCCTCCAAGTCCCACCTCTGGGGTGTGAGAAACTCCGGAAAAGACCGGCTGCCTTGCCCCTCCAATCTCCTCAGAACTGGCTCGAATTTTTTCTTCTGCCCGTCCTCCCAACCAGCTCGGGCAGCCTCTGAAAATTCTGGAAGGAAGCTAGACGGGATCGGGGTGCTCTTAGTGGGTGCGAGCGGCCGAGGGACCCTCAATCTCAATGCCGCCTTTCCCTCCCCCTCCCCTCTCCCCAAGGGAATCCCCGCCGTTTCCTCTATACTCCTCCATACGCTCTCTCTACCGCTCTCCACCGTCCCATCCTCCCCCTTCGTTCCACCAGCTCCCTTACTCTCTGAAGCCGATGCCGCTTCCTCCCTTTTTACTCCGTCGTTCCGTCGCCCCCTCCCCCTTCCCGCTTTCCCATCCGTCCTCTCCTTCCCCTCCTGCTGAGGTACCTTCTGAGTTGGTTCCGAAGTCCTATCCTTCTCCTTCCCTACCTGCCACTCACGCGCCGCCATGTGCCTCACATTCATAGACGAATGCCTTACAGGAGGGCGCATGGACCTACTAGAGCTCTGTGTTACCACAGGTGCTCCAGACGCTTCCTCGAAGCTTCTTCCTCGCATGACCATCACTCGAAGCATCTCCCTCGCCTCCTGTACTTCTTCCCCTCCCCCCCCATCCCCCCCAACCCCCCCATCCCCCCATCCCCCCCATCTCCCCCATCCCCCCCATCCCTCCCGTCTCTTCCGCCACTCCCATCTCTCCACTCCTCCACCGCCCGTCGCATATCCAGAGACGCATGCCTCACAGGGCCCCGCATGGATGTGGCAGGGGTTTGAGCCGCCAGTGATGGGATGGCACCAATACCACTCCCAATACCACTCCCATCCACGATCTTTGGTCTTATGGGCGATGTCTCCTCCAAGCTGCCCCGTGCTGCCATCCCGTCACGAGATGACTTTTGAGTCGACTCAAAAGTCTCCTCCAAGCTGCCCTGTGCTGCCATCCCGTCACGCCCGCCTTCGCTCCTCCTGCCTGCGCATTCGCCCGGCTGAAATCTCCCATCCCCCGCATCCCTGGCTTTCCCTACCAGCTGTCGCATGTCCAGAGAAGCATGCCTTATGGGGGGGCGCATGGGTCTGGAGGTGCCAGTCTTGATGCTGGGGACGTTTGGAATGCCAGCATCAAGACTGGCACCAGTCTTGAAAATGCCAGCATTTTCCGGTGATTTATGAGGCGAAGATGCCTTGCAGCTCCTGTCAAAAAGAATTGCCTCCTCCCCCCCTCCTCTATGACTGCCTCTGCCTCTGTGAGAGGGCCCTGTCTCTGCTCCATGTGTCAAAAACAAAACAGCTCCATCCTCCATCTGTGCCCCATCCCCACCTCCTCCTTCCTCCCCGCCTCCTCTTCCTCGTAGCCCTCTTTCTCCCCTAGAACCATCCGCACCCTCCGTTACACCAGCACCAGCACCATTCGTTACAGGAAGCCCAAACAGCAGCCTCTGCCCTCCATGCGGCGACTTCCCCCCCTCTCCCACCCTCACTTGGGTCACATCTCTCCCCCCTCCCTCCCCCGGTTTTGCCACGTCATAATTCCCTGTCCACTCTTCCCACCCTATCCTGCCAAACACCCCCTCGTTTTTGAGATCCAGAGACAGTCTCCTAGCAGCCATTAAGCGTCCGGGCTTCCTACCAGTACCAGAAGCCTTCCCCCCTCCGTTCACAACGCTTCTCACGCCCTCGTTCCCTCCTCCTCCTCCTCCTCCTCCTTCCCCTCTGTCTCCGCGATATCCGGCCCCGCTTTCCGTCCCAGCACCAGTCCCTTTCCCTCTCGCACTTGCTGCTGCTGCTGCCCCTGCCCGAACTGCTGCCTCTCCTGCTGGTTCTGCCCTTGCCCCTCCCCAAGGGCTACCACCACCCGGCCCACTTCCCAATGCTCTGGGGGAAACACGGGGCTTGCTTGGAAACCCACGAGTACTTGGAAACGCTGCAAACCCCAAGCCACTGCGTGACGCGCTCGGAGAGATGGGGGGTTTGCTAGGAAAGCCACTTGTGCTGGGAAAGCAGCCAAGCGGGCGTGGTTGTCCCGTGATGCTGCAGGGGCTGTAGGCAACCGTCCCTGACAGGGAGCGGGCGTGCCGCCGCTGCCCCACAGGTCGCCTCACACCAGCTTGAGAAGAGGGTTGAGAAGAGGGTTGAGAAGTGGGTTGAGAAGAGGGTTGAGAAGAGGTTTGACAAGAGGGTTGACAAGAGGGATGGTGATCTATTACTGTGGCACGGGCTTGAGCCAGTGGTTGGTTTGCAACAGTGGAAGGGGCTGGAGAGAGGGGTGAGAGGCGTGTGGCAGTAGAGCCAACTTGACTGGGGGGGTGATGGTGGTCTATAGCAGTCGCAGAGGGGCAACCTGGAGACTGTGTTTGAGGCGCGTAAGAGGCAATCGACTGGGATTGAGCCAAGAGTTGGTCTCTAGCAGTAGCACGGGCTTGAGCTGGTGGTGATAGGCGCGTGCCAGCAGACCCGGACTGATCCGGCGACTGGTCTATAGCGGTGGCAGGGGCTTGAAGGGGTGGTAGGCGCGTGGCAGCAGACTGAGCTTGAGCGCGTGTGAGAGAGCGGGTGTGGGAGCGGGGGCGGAGGAAGAGAGAGGCATCAGAGGACGAAGACTCGTAGTCTGACGATGGAGGGGACTCGAAATAGGCATCTCCGTTTTGAGGAGAAGCAGCAGAAGCAGCGGCGGCAGCAGCAGCAGCAGGAACAGCAGGAGCAGAGGCAGCAGCTTTGGCGGCTGTGTTGCTAGCAGCAGCAGGCACAGAAGAAGAAGAGGAAATGTCAAGATTCGATCTCTCAGCCTTTTCTCTCTCTTCACCCTCCCCTCCACCCTTCTCTCCTGCACCCTCCTCTGACATTCCCTCCCGCGCCTCCTCACCCCACTCCTTCGTTCTTCTGCCTAAGTCTTGGCTGCCCCTCTCCACCCCCACCCCTGCAGAAGTCTCTGCCATGCTTTTCCACCCCGCCTCACCCCACTTCTTGCTTTTTCCCAAGTCCAAGGATAGTTGCCTGCTGCTACTGGCAAGGCGCGCCGGTTGTAGCACGGCTGTAGTAGCAGCAGTAGAAGTGACTGTTCTACTGGTAGCAGCACCAGAAGCAGCAGCAACAGCAGCAGCAGCCCCAGCAGCAGCAGCAGCACCACCACCACCACCACCGCCACCACCATTACCAGCACTGTTGCTGCCACTGCCAGCGGGGTAGGGAAGCCCGCCGGATCGGGCATGAGTGCCTGTAGTAGCGGGTGCACGGGCTTGGGAGCGGCCGAGCGAGCGAGCTTGCAGGAAGAGAGAGGCGTCAGAGGAGGAAGTGTCACAGTCACTGGCACCAGTTGCAGCAGCAGCGGCAGCAGCAGCACCACCACCACCACCATCGCCACCGCCACCGATGCCACTGCCAGTAGGGTGCTGAGGCCCGCTGGATCGGGCGTGAGAGCCTGTGGCAGCAGATGCACGGGCTTGAGAGCAGGCGAGGGAGCGAGCTTGGGAGCGGGCGTGCAGGAAGAGCGAGGCGTCAGAGGAGGAGGATTCGTAGTCTGATGATGGGGGGGACTCGAAAAACTGCTGCTTCTGCTTCTGCGCGAAGGATGGTACGCCCCTAGAAGCAGCAGCACCATCACCACCACCACCACTAACTGCTGCTGCAGCAGCAGTGCCAACACCACCAACAGCACTAGCAGCAGCAGCAGCAGCAGCACGAGCAGCATGGCTCCCCTTATCATCACCCCGAGCTTGTTTGAAGGAATTTTCAGGGAACTCACTCCTTGAATATCCATACCCACGCTCCTGCACCTGCCGTACACCCTGTCCCTCACCCCAACCTTTTGCCTGCCCCTTCTCCTGCTGCTGCCCCTTGCCCTGAAGAGAATGCACCTGAGCCTGCACCTGAGAATGCACCTGCAGCGGATTGCCAGCCCCCCCATCTCGTCTTCCCACACCCAGCGCAATCAGCATGTGTCGAAGCCTCTCCACCTGCTCCAACCGCTCCTCACACCCCTCACACTCCGACCCAGATAATCCTGACCCAGATAAGCCTGACCCAGATAGGCTTGATGACTCTTCCTCTTGGGATGATTGCCGCTGGTATGGCGACTGCTGACGTGGCGAATGCTGATGTGAGGACTGCTGACGTGGCGAGCGCTGATGCAACGGCTGCGGATAAGTCGGCTGCTGATAGCTCGGTGCAACACGATCCCTTACCAGTCCAGCAGACAGACCTCCCTCGGTTGATCCCTCCCGTTCACTTGCCCTGCTTGCGTCTGATTGGCTGCTTCCTCTCCCCTCTGATTTCCCCCTCACCAATAGACCCGGTTCCTGCTGTCCCTCCAACTCGCAACTCTCCTTCACCTTATCCCCCTTAAAGCCCCCAGTAGAGCCAACGCCACTAGGCACGTTCTCAGCAGGCACGGCACCAGCACCAAGCACCGTGCCTCCCTGTGGTATATTCAATACCGGGGCACTCAATAACGGGACACTCGATAACGGAGGAGTTAATAACGCAGCACTCAGTAACGGGGCTTCCCCTCTTGGCCCCGGGGAGCGCGGGGGGAGCATCGAACTCCCCACAAACCCACCCATACCGAAACCTCTAGATGAGAACCCCCCACCTCCTCCTCCTCCTCCTCCTGCTCGCCCTGCTCTGCCCTCTTCTTCCTCCCCCCACCCTCCCATAGTTCCTCCACACCAATCCCTCCTAAAGTCTAGAGACGCTTTTCTAACTCGTAACCGACGGATGTGCTTGCCTCTGCTGCTCCCTACTCCTGCTGACGCTGCGTCTAGCGTTGCTGACGTGGCGGATGACTCTGCTGCTGCTGACGCGGCTGATGATGAGGACAGAGAGGGTGGTGACGTCATGAAGGTGGAGGATGACGAGGAGGTGGGGATGCCTGCTCCTCCTATTCCTCCTTCTCCTCCTGCGCCCCCTCCTGCTCTCCCCCCTCTTCGCCTGCCGTCTGTTCCTGCCGAAACCACGTCCTGCCCTGCAGAAGCAAAGGCTTCTGAAGATTCGGCAACTTCTGCTAAAATAGCATCTCTCGTTAGAAGAACATCTCCTCTTGAAGCACTCTTCGAGGGCCATTCAATGTCACTACTCTTAACAGAATCGTCTCTTGGAACACTCATCCCCATCCCCATCCCCATCCCCCCCCCCTCTCCCATCCCCATGCCCACTCCTTTCCGCCAGTAGCTCGCATCCAGTGACGCGCCACGAGCCAACGGCCGCGAGACACCCTTCTCCGGCACATAAACCTTTTCGGCAGCGGCCCGGGCGGCAGGGGCGGCAGGGGCGGCTGCAGCATGAGAGGGGACGGCGCTACTCGGGCCGGCATTACTGCAGGACGCGTCACTGGAAGCAGCATCAGCATAAGCATCACCGCCATTCTCCTCTGCGTCTACTATAGCGGAATCTAGAGCCTCCACGAACGCCTGGCATCGCACGGCGCTCAGCTGCCTCTGAATCTCCAGCAGCTGTAGCTTGCCTTCCAACGTCTGTAGCCCGCCTACCGTCTGTAGCCCACCTGCCGACTGTAGCTGTAGCCCGCCTACCACTGGCGGCTGTAGCTGGCCTTCCAACGACTGGACTTCCAGCTCAGGTAACCCTAGCCGTCCACTGTGTCTCCTGCTGAGAGGCGCTTGGCTCGGGGACATTAGGCTCGGAGAGGCTCCGAGCGGCGAGGCTCGGAATGGTGAGGCTCGGAGTGGTGAGGATAAGCGAGGTGAGGACAGAGGAAAGGCGAGGCTTGGGAAGTCTGCTCGAGGGGAATCTCGGTGTGGGAATGCCATGCCTGGCTAGGCTCGGCATGGTGTGGCTCGGCACAGGTTCGGTGGAAAGGGCTTGCGTAGAGCGGTGATCTTACGTGACGCAGAGATAGCAAATGCACTACTGGAGACGTCTAACGATGCACTAGACCGTCATTGCTAGCAGCTTACTAAAATACGTACAATAGCTTACTAATACGTAGCACGCAGCAGACTGAAGGTCTTTCTGGGAGAGATCACGCGGCGCACTAGCCGTTGACTTTCCAATGCGGTGCGAAAGTTCGTCTTATGGGTGTAAGGTGAAAAGGACGGCATAGATTCACGTTCCAGCTAACAGTGACTACACTAGGTCTGTGTATATTAGGACTGTACAGTTCTAACTGCCACTAGCTGGGTGTGTTGTCACGTGAAGACCAAGTGTGCCGAGGTGGTGATGGTGTTTTTGGTCCAGCCAGTCATACGCTACAACAGATGACTCGCTGCAGATACCGACCGATCTCTCTTTCGAACTCGGCACTCTCGATGTCCCACAGCAAATAACCTGATTATTTTTGTCACGCAATCCCAGTGTATCAACTTATACATATAGAAGTTATAGGCTAGATAGGGTATGTTCTTAGAGGGTACAACCCAAACCATATATCTCCCTTGTTCTCCCTTGTGTTAATAATTGATTTTAGCTTGTGTTTTCCCGATAGGGTATGTTCTTAGAGGGTACAACCCAAACCATATATCTCCCTTGTTCTCCCTTGTGTTAATAATTGATTTTAGCTTCTAACTCAGTGTTCTTTCGGCTTTTCCCAAATCTTACAAATGCACCACCTGTGTTATGAATGAACAAGTAGAGCATGGAAATGAATAACGTAGTGTTGAATTACTGAATGTCGTACAATGAAATGAAGAAGCAAGATAGAGGAACACCGGAGCAATCCTAGCCACGGGATTAAACAGGTTCGGAAAAGGCATCCGAAGACGCGGAGCGCTTCGGGATGACGCATTCGGACCGACGCTATGACCGAGTTCGGTGCTGTGGAGGTTCGGTGCAGTGTACGCGTTAGTGGTGTATCGCGCTAAGGGCACGGGACCTCCAATTCGTGATCCCGAATAAAGTCCAGACTGTGGCATGGTTACAAATTTTGCAAATGTCACCAGAATTTCGTGCGTTGTCAAAATCCTTTGCCATATTCATATTGGGGATGGAACTTGGGGCATGAAAAGCGTCATCTGGACGGGGACTGCGCCACTTTCGAACCACCACCCTGGTCGCATGACTTGTTAAACAAGCTAGGATATGATAGAAGCCATGGAAATGGCGTAAGGTTTTAGGTGCTATGAGAAAATGTCGTGAGAGAAGAGAGTTGGAATAGAAGAGGGAGGGATACAAGAAGGGGGTTGTACCCTCTACAGTAGGATCCATGATATGCAGTTCACCTACCTAGCCTATATACACACACATATATATATATATATATATATATATATATAACATATATATTTGCACACCTCCTATGCTTAGTAGGCGATACGCAGAGAATAGACCAGGGCAATACTACTAGCCTGTCCAATGGTTTTAGGAGTAATGCAGGTCAAAAGAAAACACACCACGCACACAGCACACTAAGCCACACACCCACTAAGTCAATCACCCCCATACTCAGCATCAGCGACGGCTTCTCCAGCATGGTCAACCCCTCGGCGTGCGAGGCGGCGACGTCGGCAGCGAGGGCAGCGGCTGCAATGGCGGCGGAGGCGGCAGCGACAACAGCGGCGGCGGCATGCGGCGGCAAGGCCAGCGGCACCATCGGCGGCGGTCGCGGCTTCGACGGCAGCTGCGGCGGCGGCGAAGCTCGCAGCACTCGGCGGTGTGGCCTGACTCCGCGACGGTGGGGAAGGCCCGCGCGAGTCAGTCGTCAGCTGCGGCGAGGAAGAGGTGACGCAGAGGAGGGGGGGCGGGGCTTCTGCAGCAGAGCCAAGGAGCGTGTCGCCCCGTGTAGCGCGCTGGCTGCATGCGGGCGTGCTGGCCAGCGCTAAGACCGAGCGCTGGCCGCTGCCGTCCGTGCGCTGGAGCGTCGACGCCGCCACGGCAGCACGACGACGCCGTCACGACAGCACGACATGGCCGTAGTGGTGGCGCGGAAAGGACATGAGGGAGGAGCGAACGTTGCGGAAGCGTGATGAGTAGGCCCGAGCGGAAGGACCTGTTCTGAAACCATGTTAAACAAGCTAGGATATGATAGAAGCCATGGAAATGGCGTGAGGTTTTAGGGGCTAGGAAAAAATGTCGAGAGAAAAGAGAGTTGGAATAGAAGAGAGAGGGATACAAGCAGGGGGTTGTACCCTCTACAGTAGGATCCATGATGTGCAGTACACCTACCTAGTCTATACACACACACACACATATATATATATATATATATATATAATCTATATAATCTATATATGTTGACATGACTAGCGTCACGCGAAAAGGTGATGCGAATTTTTGTATCTGGTGTTGGTTGTGCGAAGAATTGTGCCACGAGCTCTCGTGACACAAGACGAAGCTCGACGATGCATGCAGTGTGTCGTCACTTTCGTGAAAGGGTGTCCGAATTTTGAATGATGGAATATCAGATGAGTTGGGCCTATTCACTCAGGTCGTACGGTGGGTGGTCCGGACTTTTGGGGGAGTGGTTCAAACTGCCAGAATTCGCAACGTCGTCCGGATTTTGGCATAACGTATCCGATGTCCTGCGCCCTAAGGAATGGAAAAATCCTTACACCACCCCCTCTCCCACCTTAGCGAAGGTGATCTATATCAGCCATGTTCAAGTATACTCGATAGAGTTACCATTTATGCATTCCTGATATTATACATAGATTGTACTAGTAGCACGATACCTCATATGGAAGGACGCACGTGATGACTTCAGTAGTAGTGAGTCAACGCGTAAAAAGTAGGTTCGTGCTGTCGAACATACTGTACATTGCATGTTGTTATAGACCATATAGGGTTGTGCCTTAGGGAGTACAACCCATTAGGTTATACTCCCTTGTATGCCTTTGTTCTAGTTATTCTTTCACTCCAACATGGTATCATGAGTAGGTTAGGTCCCCCCCGCCCACTAGCCCATCCGCCCTAGGTCCTAGCTGCCCCGTTCCCCTTCCGCACATGCCGACCCTGCCGCCTAGCTGGCCCCGTAGCCCAGCCCACCCCGTCACCTAGCCGGCCCCATCGGCCCCGCCTCCTAGCTGGCCTCGCCGCCCACTCGGCCCCGTCAGCTCCGCCTCCTAGCCGGCCCCGTCGCCTCGCCGGCCTCGTCGCCCAGCCGGCCCCGCCTCCTAGCCGAACCCGTCACCTAGCAGGCCCCATTGCCTAGCAGGCCCTGGCGCCCAGCCGACCCCGTCTCCTCGCTGGCCCCGCCTCCTAACCGACCCGCTTCCCAGCCAGCCCCGTCACCTCGCCGGCCTAGTCGCCCAGCCAGCCCCGTCTCCCAGCCGGCCCCGCCTCCTAGCCGACCCCGTCGCCCTGCAGGCCCCGTCGTCCGATCGGCTCCGTCCCCTTGCTGGCCCTGTCGCCTAGCCACCTCGTAGCCCAGCCAGCCCCGTCACCTCCACGCCTAGCCGGCCCCGTTGCCTCACTGCCTGCGGCCCCGTCTCCCAGACGCCTTGCCGCCGTCCACGGCCCTCTGCACCGCGTTGCACCGCCCGGCTCCGCACTGCATTGCACTGCACCGCTCTGCACCGCACTGCATCGCTCTGCACCATGCTGTACCGCACTGCACAGCACATCACCGCTTTCCGCCGCACCCTACTGCTCGGTATCGACTTTCTGCTGCTGCAACGACCGTGATGGCAGACTCGGTCCTGCATTTTGATGCGGAGGGGCAGCCGATTGAGTTCGACTCGTGGCTCGTCGACCTCAACCGACACCTAACTGGTCAGCGGCAGGGAGGCCACTCCCTGGCTGTCCACATCGACGGTACGCTCCCCTGCCCGGACCCCCCTGCTGCTCTACCCGCTGACCCCACGTCTGCTGACCGTAAGTCCGCTGCCGCTACTGCCCTTGCCCGTCCTGTCTGGTTGTCGCGTGATGCTGTTGCACAGCTTGCGATTAGTCATGCCCTCCCTCTGTCCGAGCGCCCCCGCTTTAGGTCAGTCAAGACTACGCAGGAGTTTCTAGAGGCTGTTGTCGCCCGCTATTCTACCCCGCCCTCTGCCTCCGTCGGTCGCCTCATCCTGTCCATGCTCTTTCCTGATCTCGCGTCTTTCCCTACTGTCGCTGACCTGGCCGCCCACCTGCGCACGCTAGACACGACCTAGCGCGCTGCCTACACTGAGGCCCAGCTGCGTGTGTTTCAGCCCCCCATCTGCTCTGCCCTCTACCTGCTTGCCATCCGCCTCCCTGATCGCCTTGCCACCGCCCGCGATCACTTCCTTAGTCTCCACCCCACTGACCTCACCATCACTAACTTTGTCGACACCCTATCTGTCGTAGAGACTCGCCAACGCTCTATCGCCCAGTCTAGTTATACCGTGCCTGTCTCTATCTTTCAGGGTTGTGCCCCTGCTCATTGCACTTACTCTGACGGTTCTGCTGCGGTCGCTGAGACAGCTCCGGCTGTGGAGACAGCCGCCGCAGTGCAGTTTCGTCCGGGTAAGGGTCGCCGCCCCAAGGCTAGGCGCGACGGAGGTAGCGGAGGAGGGGGTGGCGCCGGTGGTGGAGGTGGCTCGCCCGCTGGTAGTACTGATGAGGGGGCTGAGGCTGGTTCCCCGGCGTCGCAGTCCCAGCAGCAGGCATCGTCGCTGGACCAGCAGCCGCAGCCGCCGTAGCACCCGCCGCAGCAGCAGCAGCGGCGGGTCGGTCGTCTCCCCCCCGGGTGGCCTGGAGCCGGCGGTGACGGTGGTCATGCGCACGGCGTGCCGTCGGGTGGTAGTCAGAGTGACGGGCGCTGCCAGTACCAGCTCCAGACCGGTCCTCGCCGCGGTTTCGTTTGCGGTAAGACCGACCATACCTCCACTTGTTGCTTCCGTCGTTTAGATGACCTATTTCGTCTCCGTTTTGGCCCGTCGCCTTACCTCCCTGACGGGCACAGTCTGCTCCGTCGTGGTGTTCAGATCTTTGATATGGACAAAGATGAGATTAGCTCTACTTTGTATGTGCTCTATGTCGATGACTCTAGTGTAACTGGTTCCTATTACCCTATGTTGCCTAGAATAGGTGTGCCCAGTGTGCCTAGTTCAGGCTCCCCTGCTGCGTCAGGCGTAGGATCCCCTACTCTGTTTAGCGTTGGGTCCACCCTCTCTCCTCCGACCTCTGTCGCTGCTGCCGCGCTCTCCTTCACCCTGGACTCCGGCGCTTCCTGGTGTTTCTTTCGCGACTCCACTA